TGGCTGGAAACACTCCACTAACCCACCTGATTTTTCTTCTGGATTAAATCATCTCTCCTGTGGAACATGGAAGCCATGTGATTACAAATTGCATATATCTCTGATGGAAGTGGTTTGATATCTGAGTTTGTGTCTTTGCAGTCATCTGGTCTTATGATCTTACTATGACAAGAGCAGAGGAGGGCTACGTGCAGGTTAGGGCAGCTGGGGTACAAAAGTCGCCTTACCAGTGAGCAGCACAAATGAAATCAGATTTGCCCAACTGGTAAAAATCTGTTGGAAGCATGTATCTGTCAGCCAAGGGCCTGCTTGTTCCCACAGCCAAAAGTAGAAAAGCTTCTGTGAGGTCCAACATGACCTAAGCTTCTCTGGATGTACAGAGCCCAAGTGGTACAAGACTTGCACTAACATGGAAGAAAGTCCAGCTGGGCAACACATGTTGGAAAAGCATTTAATTAACCACTTCTTGGAGCAATCTTCCACATGGGTTTCACCCTCAGCAATTCTTTATTATTATTATTCTTTACTCATTTGGGTTAGGTAATGGAGTCCCATTAAAACGATGCCTGGATGCCAGCCTTAAGAAATCACTGCCAAGAGTGTTTGTAAACTGGCTGGTGGAAGTCCAGATAGCTGCTTTGCAAAATTCACCTGTGGGAACATCCTTCCAACATGCAGCAGAGGTGGCCCAAGTTTTTGTCTGTCTACCTGGATCTATGCTGAATAAGGTATTTTTTACAGCAAGAAATGCTTTTTAACTACCACCCAAGGACCACAGCTACATAAGGAAGCTTACAAATACCAGCTAGGACAACAAGAGAAGAACATAGGCTGTGGTGAAATGTGGCAGAGAGAACCAGCAAGGAACTTGATTTTTGGGAAAACCCTGATATAAAGTCATTTTGTCCTACCTGTGTGGAAATATTCTCAAAATAGGGAAAACCTTCATCCTTTAAGCTGACCATTGCCTAGTAAAGCAGTTTCCACTCAAAGGATCTACAGAGTGCTGCCAGAGACATGCTGACAAAATCGTACTGAGACTGTAAGAGGCAGAAACCAGGGAACTCTTGAACAAGGTCCCAAGGGAATCACTTCACTGTAGGATAAAGAGAAAAGAGACCATGGAAGAAGAATAACATTAAAACATTTTTGCATACAGATTTTTTTACAGAACAGCAAATAGTTCACTCTTGTTGATAGAAGAAACAGGAAAGGAAAAATCTGCTGATATTTTTTTTAAAAAGGCTTTTCCACTCAGCCTTCCAAACCAATCTCATCAAGAGTTCCAAACCTGGCCAAACAGCTTCTTCTGATGAATGTCATCAAGCCAGCATTCAGGCTGTTGGGTGCAGTGGTGTTAGAGCCAGGAAAAAGGTTTGACTTTTATCCTGTAAAAGGGTCCAGAAGTCCTGTTAGGATGGGATAGCAAAGATCTTCAACAGATCTCATTATATGATCTGTCCCTCCCATTATACAAATAACATGACTAGCTTGAGTTTCTCCCATTCTGTCAGAAACTTGATAGCATCAAGATGAGTAAATGTACCACATCAAGCCAGGGGATGGGAAAGGCCTCTCAATGGAAAAAGAGATACATTACCCCTCTGAAAATGAATGTTTGAAATGCGGAGTTCTGGCATGCAGCAAGCAGATTTATCTCTAGGAATTCCCACTTACAGCATATTCCCCTGGGTGCCCAAGAAATGTGTGCCGAATTGCCAAGGAGCTCTGAAGGCCAGGAACACATACAGCCTTTGCTGCAGGAGGGTGCCAACGGCACCAATTACAGCAAATAATCATGTTCCATCTTGTCTGGTAAAATAACACATAGCTGCAGTGTTATTAGTTAGTACTTGTACCTCTGAAAAAGCAGGAATGCTCTGCATGTCACATGGGCAAAGTGTGAGCTTTGTGACCTTTCATGAGCCCCTTGAGGAGGTCTACTTTCGAAGATAATGCAGGTACTTCCACATAGAATGGGAGTTATGAAGTAGAGATTTGGGCAGAGGAATTACAGATTTGCTGCTGTAGTTAAGAATATTCTTGTGGGAGATACATACACACAACAGGAGCTGAAAAAATACTAAGATATCGTAATGCCTTTCATAGAGCTTGAGCGAAGTATATTAGGCTACAAGGCACAAGACACTGCAACTATGCCCTGGGGAAGGGGGTTTTAACAACACATTTGTTGTACAGAGCAACACACAGTTTGGAGTCTCTTTTAGAACAGAAATCCCAGGCCAAGCAGAGATCAGCAGTAACCTGATAAGATCTATGCTCCAAGTCAGATGATTTGCCTATTGAATTCAAAACAAAGATCTTTTTAATTACAATAATTGTTCACCCTCTAAGTGAATTTCCTTGTAATAAGCCCAGATGTTGAAACATGGATAGGCAGGTAGTTTTTGCCTGCTTCAAGCAAGCTGCTCTGACTGGAAAACACTTCCTGGATGCTTCTCAGTGTCATGAAAAGACCCGAACAATAATACAAATTCGTTCATACCAGAAATTTGATATGGGTGGAAACTGGGTGGATTGGCATGCAATTTTAAAAAAAATTGAAAAAAGAGTCAAAGTGCATCAAACCAGTTTTAAAACTCTGAGGAACCTCTGAAGGCAAAATCACCAACCTGAATGTGAAACTGCATATGAGGGTGTGAATATGGCAAAGGTTTAAGACAAACCCCTTTGTCTTCAAAATCAGTAATAAGAATAAAACCTTCTATGCTGAAATTAATTACATTGGTCCCTCTCCACTACTGCCAGTTCCAGGAAAAAAAAAAAAAAAAGGACTGTTTAGTTAATCTTGCATTTCTTTTGGGAAGATTTCTTATAAAAGTTTCAAGATGACTAGATGGCTGAATGAGACATCCATCCAGCCCACCACTTAACAGTAAGCCAAGGCAAAGCTACCAGAAGAGTAAAAGGCAATTGCCAACCTAGCGTGAAGGAAAAAACAATATAAAACAATATAAAACAATATCAGGTCTGTTAAATACTCACTTTGGTAACAAATATGCTCACGTATAAAAAGCCTCCAATTTTGGAGCAAAGGAAAAGGCTGAGGATTATTTACAGTGGATTTTATCTTTGTCCCAGTAGCTCCAAGGTTTTCAATTAACACAAACATTTAGCAACTAAGACCTGTCTGAAGGGAGACTATTGACACAAATGATTCTTCCTGGTGGTTAAGATCCAGTACTAACACATTTGAATGTTGTAAGGCGTGGAAGTTCTTACCCTTCTGCTTGTGAAAAGCTCACTGGTTTCTAACAGAATACTGTAAATATTTCTTAGTCTTCTCCACGGTTGCCCAAGACCTGGAGTCCCTATGATCTCTTCCCAGCTATTGAAATGGCTGTGATGTGAGCAGTAAGCACAAGCAAACTGCAGTAAGTTACAGTCCATCAGCTGTACCTCTGCATAATGCCCTGGTCTCTTTAAAACCAGGGAATTGCCCCATGAACTAGGATGGCCAGTTCCAGCAAGAGAACAATCTGACAGTGAGCCACACTAATGTGGAGGCCAGCTAATGATTACACCCCCTTAAACCACCAGCTGGTTTCTTTAAGACTTTCTTTACCTATAAGGTTGACAGTTACTTCTATTTCTTAAATTGCATTTTCTGCACATTCCGTCACAAAATCCATCCTGAATGCCTACAGCATATCCAAGGGGAGAACCCCTAGGTGGAAGATGATTCTCCATTTTGCCTATCAAAAGAAAAAAGTATACTTTCTCCAGAAAAAAAAAAAAAAGCCTGCTGTAGGAGGTGTTATTGCAAACTAAGCTGTAACAGTGCTATTTTCAACAGCATCACCATCACAGGGTCTCAAAGGAAAGATCCCCCCACAACCATTTTGGCACAGATGTCTGGGACACAGCTACTCAGTGTAATAGGAAAGTTTTGTCATTGCACAGGGAATCAGGGAGTAGTCACTCCAAGACAGAAGATCCCAGGGCTCTGAGCAGAGTAGCTTGAAGCAGAGTTGGTGCCAGGGTGGCCAGCAGGGCAAAATGGGTTTCCAGTTTAAGAAGCCAAGAATATGGTATGCTGGAGATCATTGGCTGGCATTGCAAAAGCTAAGTATCACCTCATTGAAACAAATATCACTGGGTGGGAGCAAAATGACACTTTTGTCCATCTGGTATATGTCAGAGAGCAAAACTGTTATGTCATTTCTTGAGAGATGCTCCTTCTAGCAGGAGATGCCTGTGGAGAAGCCATGCTAACATTCAACAGCAAGCTTCAGGAAGAATTTCAGCATTCTGCAACACTAAGCAAAAAAATTAATTAAAACAGTTCAGCTCTATTTCTGGATACTTGAGGATGTTGCCTCACTCTCCTGAGAAAGAGGGGTTCCTGACCCCCTTTTACCATTTGAAGATATACTGATAAAACAACCTCTGAACCAAAATTTTCATCCAAAGACAAGTAGGAGCTGAGTTTGCACATTATTACCCACAAGGAAAACTCTCAGATGCTGCAAAGCTGGCTCCTAGCATGACCTTTGAAGCTGTGCACAGAGAAAATGAAAAAGAGCATCACTACACAAACTTGATAGAGACCATGTCAGATGTACTCTGGATCTAGCAAAGCAAAGCACAAAAGTAAGGCATCTGTTTATCTGTCTTGCTACCAGAGATGGTGGCAAAACTGGCCACAAAATGATGGGCCTGCTCATATTTTAATTCTAGAAATGAAAATATCAGGAAGATACATATGCACAGGAGGGAGAGGGGCCAAGTCCTGTATGACACTACTCTCCATACCTGACATGTGAGAAACCACAGCCCTAGGTAGGATCCTATGTGGAAACTATTATACAAAGGGCAACACCAGGAAAGGGACAGGTCACTCACATGAGTCTCAAATCTAAGGATAAAATTCAAAGGGCGAAGCACACCATGCAGGAAGGACTCTCAGAAGAAATTAGTAATTCTCCGCTGGAGACAACAGAAGGACAACGGACAAGTCCTCCTGACAGGACACCCACCTCTCCAAGAGAAGCAGACGGGGAATTCTTCCTGCTGAGATTTTCATCTGCAAAGAGGTCTTGGCGGGCTCGACGGCCCATCTTTAGTACCTGTAGTACAGGGGGAAACACGAAGGAGCAGAGGACACCCAGTTACCGACAAAAGCCGTTTCATTGCAGGGAGCAGAGCGCAAGGCAGGGCCCTGCCGTGGCGCCCCGCCCCGCAGCGAGGCGCGGTGCCCTCACAGTGCAGAAGCATCCCTTGCCGCAGGTGTGAGCCCCGCGGCCGCCTCCCGGCCCGCCCCGGCCGCGCTGCTCGGCCCCACCGGCGGCCGCTCGGCTCGGCTCGGCTCGGCCCTTCTGCTGCACGGCGCCCCACGGCAGCCAGGCCGCCAACCCCGCGCCCGCTCTTGGCCGCGACCGGACCGCGGTCCAAGGCTCCGGAGTTCCCCGCTCGGAGAGGCCGGGCCGGCCCCGGGCCCGCTCACCCCGGCGACGCCGCCCCTCCGCGGCGCCTCCGCTCGCTCCGGCTCAGGCTCCATCCGCCGCCGCGGCCGCCGGTGCTTCCGGTGGACAGCCCGCCCCGCCGCCCCGGCAACGGCGGGCACGGCCCCGCCGGGCTCGGCCGGCAGCCCCGCACCGCCCGGACAGCCGCCCCCGGCCGCCGGGCCGAGCACCCGGCGCCTGGCAGCCACAGAAACATCCACCCCCGCAGCAGCCTCGAAGCCTTGGCCTGACTAAGGGGGACACCAGTGCTACAACACCTCATGCGGGTGCTCTGTTAGCCCGTTCTAATTCCACTTGTGTGGCCGGCCAGAAACAGTCTGACGCTCTGCTTTCTCCAACTTTTTGCCGAAGACGCTTTTTAAGTTCCCCCGAGGGCCGAGAATCGTAGCCTTAAAGATCCGTCTCTTGACAGAGGCTTTTGCCAAAGTCTCCTGATGGCTTCTGATGCTCTTCCCAATTCTCCCTGGCTCTCTAACACAGCTTTCCAGATGGGGCAGGCGGTCCCCAGAGCCCAAGGTGGAGGCAGTGCCAAGGATCAAATGTAAGCACAATGATCATTATACACATGCTTCTCAACCGTGAGTTGTGCAGAGATGTCCACTGAGCTGTATAAAACGACCCCAGTCTGTTTCTTGTCTGGACAGATGTATAGATTAATTGTAAATAGATCTGGTTTTAGCTCCACATGTTTAACAAACATTCAGTTTTCCAGTACTTTGTCCCTTTGCCTATATTTTTTTCTGCTATCTCACATTCCTCACATTTTTCACCCATCCTCATTAGCCTAAATAATTTCATCTGCGCTACAACAAAAAGCTGTACCACACCACAAACTACACTGCTAACACTTTCCCATGATGAAAATTGACTCTGAAACTTTTAAGCCTCCCAGGAATACCTTTTACTAAAAGCACCAGATTTCTCTCCATACCTGCTTAGCTTTTATAGAAGCTCATGGTTTGGCTGAGGAACTTGAAGTCATCTAAATAAATTGTATCAAATAATTCTCCTTTTTTTCCATTTCTACTGACATGTTCAAGTAGTTGTGCTGTGATGATCTAAGGATTAAGTAAATAAGATTTGTAGGCAGAGGTAATAACTTTTTATTAGACCAACTGATATAGCTGGAAAAAAAAACATAAAATAAGGGTTTCTGTGCCTGAAAGATTGTGTGTTTTTTCCAGCTGTATCAATTGGCCTAATAAAAGATACGATCTCCCTTTACAAACCTTGACATGTTCAAAGAATTCAGTAAGTGAGACATGATTTTCCTTTTTTGAAGCCAGGCTCACTGGGCTTTATGAAGTTATAATCTTCCATATACTTTGTTCTTCTCTCTTCATTACAGACTCAAACATTCATGTGGTAGAGAGGGCAGTTTGCACGTAGCCCCATACTTTACCTCAGGGCCATGGGAACATGGCCCTGCATTTCCCAATTCTCCCCAACTCCTCCAAACAACTGCTGCAACAACACAGCGACACAGATTCCAGGAGACAGAGGGGTCTATAGCTCTGGACTTACAATACACTTACAGCTGACCTTCTTGATCAGAAAAAGAGCATCCTAAGAGGAGTATGATAACATCCAGAGCAATCTCTGCAAATCAGGAAGGCATTCTTGGGGCAGGAATCCAATGTAGGAGTACATTGCCAGCTGTGCTCCCACACAGGTAGCTGGCAGGGTGATTCTCCCAGAGCCAGGGTAGAGCCATACAGGATACCATCCTGGACAGACAGATCATGAAGCAGCATGACCAGTGGATTCACTTGTTTGGAACTGCCCTCCCCCTTCAAGCTTCTCCTCACAATTCGCCTGGGTTCCCATCCTAGACAGTACACCTGTACTTCCCATCTGCCCCCAAGACACTCTGTGCTGCTTCACTCTGTGCTGCTTGCTGCCTACCCCAGGGAGAGAAGTCTCAGGCCATGAGACCTTGAGGGAGGGTGAAGTCCATGTGCAGGAAGTAAAACATGTAAGGACTTGGGGAACTGAGCCTTGCCTCGGAATTTTGACTCCTGACTTCAGAGATTCTCAGTGAGAGAGAAGAGCAGATGTGTAGAAAGAATGAAACCTAAAATATGTCCTACCTCGAGTCCCTCTGGACTCCACTTATTGGAATGGGGTTTGTCACCTACCCCTGAAAGCTTTGCCTGCTTGGGGAGGGCAACAGGAGGAAAAAAGTTTTCATCCATCACTTCATGTTGTGGCTAAAGTGGATTTTGCTTGCCTTAAACATTGGGGTTACATTTTCTTAACAGTTTAATTCTCCTCTGTCTTACTGGTGACACCACAGGCAGCATTTGACCCCAGGGCTAGATTGGCTCTACTCAACCAACCAAGAAGGAGCCAGGTACCAGGACAAATGTCTGGTGCTGCTGTGGTTGTCCAAAGCTGTTTTCAATGCTTGCTTTCTGTCCAGTTCAGGTCTGTGGTGCCAGGGTTTCTCTTTCTCAGTGTACAGTTTCAGGTGTATTCTCAGCTCTCAGTCTGCCTTACTTGTTTGGTTTTGCCCTCACCGTAAATCACACTGCTGCCACCCCCTCTCAGCCGAACAGTAAGTAAGAACTACACAAGCATTCCTTTCACAGACAAGTTCTCACATCTAAGCATGGACTCTCTCCATCTGGTTTCAACACAGACCTGAGCACATAGAATAGGACTAACAGAGTCCCCCATTAGTGCTGTTTGCCGTTGATTTCTCCTTGACTGGCAGACATATGAGTAGAGCTTGTGTCTGGTCCTCCTATCCATGAGAAAGTCTGGGAAAGCAATCACACTTGAGCCGTCCCATATGATTCTGGTCCTAGACCCCCTTTAAAGCAAGGGCAGACACATGTAGTTAAAGCTACAGCTATGGTGGAAAGCCTACATGGTAGCACAATGACCACCTTATTCAGAATGGCCAAAGCTTTTCTAAAGCAGCTTTTTGACAGAAGTAGGATTTATGGGATGCGGGACAGTTCCAGTAGCAACAAGTGACACAGCACTGTGCTTCCTTCCTCACCCAATCTTTGCATCAGGCAGCCAGCCAGACTCCTGATTTTGATATGGGCCAATTCATTAAAACATTAAGCTTCCACTGAGAAGCGAAGCACTCAGCAAAGAATGCTGCTGCATCCTGCTCCACACTAGCAGCATGATGGCAGATCCAAGCATCTCAGTTTAATTTTTCCGCAGGTTTTTTTCCTCCACACACCTTTCAAGTATCTACCCCATCTCTAAGGGTTTTTGGAGGAGAGAAACAATGGCAAATATTTTTATTTCTGTAAGCTCCAGAACAAAATCCCCTAACAATTGCAAAGCTTCAAACAAGATGTTCCTCCCTCTGGAAGATGGAATGGACCTTGACAGGCAGCAAAGGCCCATACATTTGCCTGTTTTGATCTCCATGAGAACAGATGCTGTTCATGTTGCATCAGCCCCAGCTCAGACTGTCAAACCCCAGCCAGAGTTGCCAAGTGTGAAATATTTCCTATGATACTCACATGTTCAGTAGCCCTGTCAGGCTCTCCCTTAGCATAGCTGGATTCCAGCATGTACAAGATGTACAACCTGTTAATGACTGCTGCTCACAGCCACCAGAATTGCTTCCAGTGTCTGTCAGACCACAGGGCTTCCTCACCTCTTTTCAATCCACAGAGTAACACTTGAAGCAGAGAGTGGCCTGATACTGAAACCAGCAGGACACCTACACCCTTCTCCACTATTACTACCAAGCAGTAAACTCCCACTGTCAGCTTGTAACAGAAAAGCCATTAGCAACATAACCTTGCATTTTGTACTATTGTATTTCATCTCATTTCTCCTGTATTAGCCTTCACAATTGCCTACACCCTCCCATAGGATATCCCAGTCCTCCCCTGTATCAACAATGCCTCCAGTTTTGGATAAGAAGCCAATTGCATCAGCACATCCATTTTGGTGTGCCAAGATCATTAATAAAACCTGGGCCCAGGACCAGCCTCTGGGAAACTATTGTAATTTCTTATAATTTCTGTACTTATCTCCATCTTAACTAATAACTCATCATGGGGCACTGTAGCAGATGGATTACTGGAGTCCAAAGCAATCGGTTTGACTGCATTTAGTGTGACCTCCAACCTGGCAGCAGGGTAGAGGAGATCCAAGTGGGGAAAAGGATCCAAAATTAATTTCAGAAGTGCCTGAGAAGGTCTAGAAACATCCATCCCAATCTACAGAATAATATTCTATGGATAGTTAATGTCAACAGTCAGAATTTGCATCTTACTCCAAGTGAAAATTTGCCTGATATCATCTTGGAGCCACTAGATCTTGTTACATTCTTTGTCTGCTCCATCAAAGAACTCTTAATTCCTCTTCCCCAAGCAAAGCATAAGCGAACAGTGAGCACTTCACCCTTACATCTCCTCAAAGCTGCATAAAATGGATCACGGGGCATCCAGCATCCCCAGCTGCCCCAGACTGGCTTTCCTGTCAACCTGTTCCACACTCCATGTCTTGGGTGAGCCACTATCCTTCGAGCTTGCAGTGCTCTCCCATGCAGATAAAGGAAGGCTGTGCCCGGTGTTTCCAGACGCCTCCCTCCAGCTGCACTGTTGCCTGCTGTTTTTGGACACCACCGATCCAAGGGCCACATGCCCCCGGGGCCCCACCTCTCCCAGAGCATGAAGATCGGGACGTGCTTCCACAGAGAGGTTCTGCCCACATCCCACCTTGCCCATAGCCTCGCAGGAGTTGTCCCTGCCCCACTTTTCCACCGTAACGCCAGCCCAGCGGGTTGGCTGGCTCCTTGGGCAGCACAGACAGTGCTGCGAGCGGCTGCCATGGGTTGGGAAGGCACAAAGCCTCTGGCTCAGGGGCTGCTCTTCTGCTGACCCTGGGAGAAGGGCTGGGTGCTGGGGGCAGGGTCCAGGTGATGCCAAGAGAAGGACTCTAGCTCGCTCCACGGCCCAGGAACCCCTTTCTGGTCTTCGGGGCAGCAGGCACGGGCCCAGCCGGCAGCACTGAGGCGGGAGGCCGGCGTGGCGGGTGGCCGCAGTGAGGGCACGCCCCGGGAGAGAGACCCGAACAGGCCCGGGTTATGAGTTATAACCCCATCCACGGCCGGTGCTTTGTCTACCGCCTGTGATCCTGGGCCCCTCCGAGGGCAGCGGATGCCCGATGCGGCCCCTTCACCGCAGCGAGGGCTGCCGTGACCGGGTACCCCCCAGAGCTCTCGCTGCCACCTGCCTTTATGGCTAAGGGGCATCGCCCTGACCCTGCCGACGCCGTGCTTCGGCCGCGGGGCCGCCGATCCCGCCGCAGCCCCCCGTCCGCAGCGCGGCGGCCCCTCCTTCCCTCGGAAAGAAACCACATCAGGAAAGTATTCGGGGTATTTTTAGCGGCTTTTAATGCGATTTCGCAGCTGGAAGCGGGAGGGGCCTCCCCGCGCCGCCCGGACCACCGCGAAGGGCCCGCCCGCCGCCGCGCGAGTAGCGCCAGCAGGGGGCGCCTGCGCGCCGCCGCCGGGGCGGTGCGGCGGCCACGTCGGAGGGCGCGCGGGGCCGCCCCGCGCCGAGGGGCCCGGGGTGCGCGGGGCGAGGCGCCCCCGGGCGAGCGCGGGGGGCGGCGGGGGGTAGGGAGGAGGGGAGCGGCGGGGGCTGCGCGGCTGCTGGAGCCATTAGCGCGGGGTTGGCGCGGCCGAAGGCCGGGCTTGGAGCTCCCTCCCCCGCCCGAGCCCCGTCCCGGGGACGTCATGGGAGGGAGGTATAAAATTTCAGCGTCGGGGCCGGGGAAGCGGCAGTGTGCGCGGGCGGGCCGGTGTGAAGCGGTGTCGGTGCACGGACCGGGGCACGGCGGCCGGCGGAACCCACGGGCGCAGCGGACGGCCCGGCGGCAGCGCTCCCGGCTGGGCGAGAAGCGCCGCGGTGCCACGCTCCCGGGCGCCGAGGGCCGGGCACCGGGCGATGTAGGGCGCGGGGCCCGGCGGGGGCATGAATGGTGCAGCGAGAGGGGCGGGCGCGGCGCTCCCCCCGCGGCGGCGGGGCGGTGCGGGCCGCTGACACGTGCGGCGGCGCGGCGCGGCGGGGCGCCCCCGGCTCCGCGGGGCGCGGGGCGGCGCATGGGGAAGGAGCGCGGCGCGGCGAGGCACGGCGCCTGCCGCTTCTCCTTGCGGAGTGCTGCCAGCTCTTCCTGGAAGTCCTGAGTCGCGCACGGCGCAGTGAGTTCATGCACCTCCTCGCCAAGCCTCAGCCTGCGGGTTCTGGGGAGGCTGCCGCCAGCACACCGCCCGCTCCCCCGCGCCCTCTCGCCGCCGCTCGGGGGTCTCTCCCGGAGGCCCCCGCCGCCGCCCCCTCACACATGAAGATGTACGTGCAAAGGGCTCTGGTGCTGCTCTCCCTGCTGAGCTTCGCTACCGTGAGCCTCTCGCTGTCCTCCTGCACCACCTTGGACCTGGACCACATCAAGAAGAAGAGGGTAGAGGCCATCCGAGGCCAGATCCTGAGCAAGCTGCGGCTCACCAGTCCCCCGGAGACCGTGGGGCCGACCCATGTGCCCTACCAGATCCTGGCCCTCTATAACAGCACTCGGGAGCTGCTGGAGGAGATGGAGGAGGAGAAGGAAGAGAGCTGCTCTCAGGACAACACCGAGTCCGAATACTATGCCAAAGAGATTCATAAATTTGACATGATCCAGGGCCTCCCCGAGCACAGTAAGTGCGGGGCTCCCCCCGTGCCGGCCGGAGTGCCGCGCCCGCGGGGCACACTGCCCGGGATCCCGGGCGCGGGGGAGGGGCGGCCGGCCGGGCCGAGGGGCGCCGGGCCCCCGCCGAAGGGGCCGCTTCCCGGCGGGGCGGAGGCGGGTGAGGGGCGCGTCTCCGCCTGGCTGCGCTCGGGTACGGAGGTGAGCGGGAGCCGCGGGGCGGAGGGCGCTCGGGACGGCGCGGGGCTTGGCCGGCAGTGGGGACGGTGGGTGGCAGGGTCCAGGAGCGGCATCCGCCCAGGCTCCCGGCCGGCCCGGAGAGCCAAGCCCGTCCCTAGAATCCCGTGCCTAGAGCCTTGATATCAGGACAAGGCGGGGAGGGGGATGCAGTGCGGGTGGCGGGGTGATTGCTGCGCACCGGGCTGGGAGACGGCGCAGGTCTGGTGTTTGGGTGACAGCAGGTAGACGGCCTCCTCCCTGCTCCAGCGCCTGCCGCAGAGGTACAGGCAACTGTCCGGTTTGTGCAGCACCTGCGCCGGCGGTAGAGAAGGTGGAGAGGCACTTGCTGAAGAGACTGCTGCTTGGAGGACACTGATGAAGGTGTTACTCAAATAGTGTGAGCGTTCAGAGAGCGAGCAGAAGACAACAGGGATGCTGAGCAGGTGTAAAGCAAACAGTGATGCCAAAGGGACCCCCAAGGGAACACAAGCATTGAGGAAACATGACAGATGTTGAGCAGGTGTGGAGCAGATGAGGAACAGGCCCAGCTGTGGACACTAAACAGATTCAGGCGCAGAAGCTGAGCAGTTACAAAGACAGAATGAGCAGGCATGAACTCAAAGCAGATTGCAGATGCTGAGCACATGTAGGCACAAGCAGTAATTTTGGTTTGTTTAGGATTCCTTAGAATTGGAAGATGCAGTCATACCACTATCTAGGGTGTTCTCCTGTGATGTTGTGGCATCCTGGGGACAACATTTGAACACCAGCAGTTCTGGGGAGGAGCTGTGACTTGGTGCAGGCAGTCTCAGAATGCAGTTACTCTGCCAGGCTTATGTTAATCTTGACATATGATGAGCTGGAATAAACTACAATGTGGTAATGCAACAAATTTTACTTAATCTCTAGCAGACTGCATTCCATATGGTTATATGATTAGCTCTTAGCTCTAGAGACAGATTCAAGGAACAGAAAGGGCATAGGTTACCTGCATTTCAGTGGTTTTGACCTACTGAAGTGTAATTTGTGAAATTTTAAACATATATGGGAAAACCAAGTGTCTGCAAAATAGTACAGCCACACCATGCACTAGCATTTGGGGGGGAAGGAAATGGGGAAAACACAAAGTACAACAGTGGCAAATTAAGTTAGGGGTGTGGGTATGGCTGAAATTGAGGGGAAAGTGGAATGAAGAAACGGCTCATGAAAATGAGTGATGAGCAGGGATTGTGGCTTTGGGAAAATTCCTGTAGAAATGAATAATCCTGTCCCATGTCCTCATAGGACACTGGGACAGTGGGTTCAAAAGACCAAGTAGTGCTGAGATTAAATTTCTGCAAGTGGGCAGTGTAGATGCCACCACCCAGAGAAAGAGGGAAGTTTGTATTTGGTCACACTAGGGGAAACTTAACTCCAGACAGATTGTGGTGGCAAGAGACACTCTTTTTGAAACCTGGGGAGTTTCATCGCTTACACCACGGCTGAATTTGGCCCCGCATCTTTCAGAAGTGGCTGGTGTTCAACTTTCCCATGACTCTGTCACTGTGCCAGGTGGTGATCTAAGAGCATGCTCTGAGCCAAAGCCAGTCTCGGGGGGGAGGTGGGGGGAAGGAGAGGACTACTCCATTGAAGGAACTGCAGTGATGATACAGACAAGTTTGAAATGTGTGCACACTCACACAAACTGTTCTAGCTCCAGACTATTAGTCAAGTGCCATATTGGCTCAAAGAACCCATCCTTTTCAAAGATGCAAGGTCCAAAAGTGAGCAGAGCTGTGGAGCAGAAAAAGAGGGGAGAGCCAAATTCTCCATCTCTTCTCTGAGCTGCTTGGTACTCACAGAATGGTCTTTTCCCCTGTGCCTCTCAGGTACACTCCCTGAATAAAAAGTGATTTTCTTTCAGAGAATAACTCACTTTTGACCAGCCATTCACTTCAGGGATCTCATAAAACTCAGGTGGATCAGACCCCCTTAACCACTGACTTGGTTATGTTCAAGCTTGGGAAGCATCTGCAACAGTCCTGCAAATAGCTTTTTGCTTACCTTCTTGAAGGAGAAACAGATGCCATTTTCCAAGGCAGCTTGAGAGACAAGGCAATTAAAGTCACGGGTCACTAGGGCCAAACATCTATTCCCTCTAAACCTGCCACCTGTGGAGTTCCAGATGGATCGACTTTTTTTTCTAAAGTTATGCAGCTTTGGCATGAAACACCTTGGTGATTCAGGCGTATAATACAGAGTGAGGCCAATACCTGCTCACACAGCCTACCCTTCCTTCTCATCAAACTTGAACTGCATAGCCATCAGCCTTCCTGGGGCTTGCCAGAAACAACAGCTATTTCTCCTGGATCCAGCACCATGTGGCGAGCCTGCACCTCACTTAGAGCAGTACTATGAAGGTGGAAGCTCCCAAAAGAACCTGCTCTCTGTATCACATTATCCACACAAAGAGGCCACTGGTCTCATCATTGGTGCAGTGAACAGCTCTGGGCTATTGACTCCACAGTAATAGCAGGGTCCAGTTGTGAGGATATGTCATACCAGACATAGCCTGGCATGGATGCACAGGGTGTCACAGATTGCTGGTCTCCAGGCTTGGTCACTGCCACTGAGAGTTGTGGACTGAGACAGCTTGCAGGAATACTGCCTCCCGGCTTTGTTCTGTGCTGGTGGTGAACAGGTCTGGATTCCAGTGTGATTAACACATCTCAGCTGGGTCTGGATCAAATTCCCTGAAAAATCCCCTTGCTCCCTTTGCCTGTGACCTCATGCAAAAAAGTACTTTGCCCCAAAGCTGTCAAGTTTCCTGGGAGTGAGACCTCTCCTGAACCTCATGCTATGAGAAACAAGCTCCAGCCTCACAGAGCTTAGAGTGAAATACAGAACACAGCTACATTTCTGCATCACAGAGGGCTTGTTCCCATGGTACAAAGGGAACATGAAGCTTTTAGGGAAGGAAAAGAGCTATTACTGTTTTCACTGGGAAGGTCTCCCAAGATCAGCACCTTGATGGTGAAGTAGGTAGAAAGCAATGTGGCTTGCTTTTTTTCACAGATGGTGAAATACAATAGATGTAATGTCTTACCATCACGGCTGTCTAATTTAGCCAAAAACATTCAGGAGATGTTAACACATTAGTTGTCTCTTGCCAGCTCTGTGCTGTAGGGCCATATTTGCAGCCCCTAAATAGTTTTTCAGATAAAGCACTGCTGTTGGAAATATACTGAGCTAGACGGACCAGTGGTCTGATGCAAAAAGGCATTTCTGATGACAATTGGGACACCCCTTACGGCCAGACAGTCAGGTCTGAAATGAAAAGGCATGCTGTTTACAGCACTATTAATAGGGCTAGGCGTGCAAAGCAGCTTCAGGGGCCATTGAAACACTGTATCTGCCTAGGTCTAGGACACAGAACAGTAATCAGTGTTAGACTTCAGCTAGGAAGATGTCTTTGGGCACTTAATGAGAACTTGGGTTTTTGCTGGACTTTTCTGCAGCATCAAACCTTGAATTGGTTGCAGGGATGGAGTCCCCACAGTAGGCGTTTGTGTGTGCCTGTGGGTACTCTTTGCATTGCAGGGTTTTTGGGCTGAGCAGGCCAGCTCGTGCCTGCAGTGGGGTCTGTTCTCCTAGGATTTGTGAACAGCCACCTCTTCAATAACAGCTAGAGACTTTCCTGTATGGGAATGCTGTTCTGTTCAGTAGTACTAATGACAAAAACTCCTCCAATTAAAGCCCAATGTCAGCATCTGGTCCTTAGCTTATTGAGTAAAATTTCAGTACCCTAAAAACACATCCTTGAAAACTGGCAGGGTCCTGCTTGCTGAATTTGTGTGTAGCACAAGAGGAAGACCTTCATCTCCATTGATATGAGTGTACATCAGTGTTGCTGAAATCACAGTTTGGCATGGGAGGTGAACCTGTGCACTTAGGTGCTGTTTCACACTACCCCATTTTCAGAAGCTGGTTCTCAGGGGAGATGGTGATGGTGGGATCAAAAGAGGGGCCTGTAGGTGTGTAACTCGAAGGTTGTTCCGCCTAGGGCTTCCAGCCTATTTGTCAGAGGTTGGAACCATGTCTGTGAACAAGTGATAGTTTTTCCTTCTGTTTCTTTATGTTTGTTTGTTTAGAAGCAATTTAAATATCAGCTGATAAAAGAGCCTCCTGCTGCATTGGACAACAGTCAGAGGTCATCAAAGAGGCTCTGCAGGGCTGCAAACAAACCTGCCTGTGGACATAGAGCAGGAGCTGCTGTGTCTTGTCTGCAGGAAGCTTTCATGATGCTAGAGCCTTGAAGGCTATCAAGGTCAATAGGAGAGAAACAACAGCAACAAAGACTTCCATGAGACCAAAATGGTCCCTTTGAAGAGAGTACTCTTTGCCCTTGAGGACTCAGTTTTGGACCTTAAAGGTTTTACCTCCTCTCTTTTGAGGCATCTGTGAAATGGGTTTTTCTGTTCAACAGGCACACATAGAAGCAGAAAATTGCTGCATTATTTCCTTCCCATGTCAGTGATCTCCACAGGTCCAGTACCATTCATGAATTCCTTCTCCAGTTCATGAGCGAGAACCAATTTTAAACCCCAGTTCTTTCAGTACACATTGGATAATCACTGCCCTAAAGAGTCTTTGACACCTCATGTTTTGTGTTTTTTGACATTGGGTGGCTTCCATTCTAGGAGTCAATGTCAAGATTTGTAAAACTAAGATTCAGCAGCAATGGAATCACTTCATATGTGGCTTCATGTGTCCATCATGAGCAGAATAACAACATCCTAGCTGTTGGGAATAGGGCCCACTAACTGCAAGTGAGGTTGTCCCATCGCCTGGGCTGGGGTTGTCATTTTGGATGCAGCCAACTCATGAGTATTAGCAACATCTGATGAGTAGAGTTAGAAGACATAGTAATAAACATACTGTGGCTGATCTCTACTGATTCTTTTGTCTTGTGCCATTGAAATAATGATGGCAGTAGTGGGAATGTTTGCAAAATGTTGCAATGTAGATCAAATTTGAGTGAATTTATCCTGTATTATCTTGAGCTAGATAGCTCTGCCTCACAAGGTGGCAAGATGTTTGAATGAGAAGTCTCTACTGGAAAGCTCTTTCTCAAGAGCTTTCCAGTAGAGATCCTGCCCCTCAGAGATGTGGTTCTCAATGTTTCTGAATTTCTTTCTCCTAGATGAGTTGGGCATTTGTCCAAAAGGTGTCACCTCCAATGTGTTCCGCTTTAATGTGTCGTCAGCAGAGAAGAACAGCACCAACCTATTCCGGGCTGAGTTCCGGGTGCTGCGCGTGCCCAACCCGAGCTCCAAACGCAGTGAGCAGCGCATTGAGCTCTTCCAGGTGAGTATTCTTATCACCTTCCTCAGTGTCTGAGCCCAGAATAGCTTGGCTCTTTAATGGTTGTCCCAACTGGTATATGCAGAGCCATAGAAGAGAGAAGAAAGTGCACGCTATAACCCAGGCTTCTTCCACCATATGCCGTGATAGAGTCACCTTCCTTTCCTTTTACAGTGTAGTGCTGCCCTTTTCCCACTTGGAAGGGGAGCCCCTCATCAGTGGAGCAGCTCTGACCCTTCTGTCATACCATGTCATATCATGTCATATCATACCCTTGGCAGTTTTATTCCTTTGACTGTTGCAGTACAGTTGGTGTTAATCCAATGATGGAGCTCCCTGTATTGTCACTGATTTACTAGAAAAACAGTGCTTGTTTTCAATGTTCCCTTCAGTAGCAGCTCTCCAGAAGCACAATTCAGGCCACCTGTTAATCCAGATACTTATCTGGAGTTTTCATTGAACCTAGGGACTGATAGAGTAAGGTCTGGCTCAGGCTTCAAAGTGGTATTAGGCTGAACTGCACCACCTAATGACACAGCTTAGCATCCAGGCAGCACACTCTCACAGGCTCATGTCTGCCCACTTTTCCATAAGAGTGCAGCTGAAATTGTCTTTGGGTGGTAGCTCTTGAGGACTTCCTGGAATCCAGCATCAAAGGTCAGAGCAATTTTCCACCAGATGACACAAATGACAAGGAGGTGATCTCAGAGCTTCTCCATAGGTTCAGTTGTCTGTGGAGTCAGCCTGGGGTCTGCAGGAAGGAACACCTTGAAGGTGCTGTGGTTGTTTGTCTGGAAGTCAGAAGAGATGTCAGAGCAGAGGCAGAGGTCTCCAAACCTGAACAGCTCTTGTGTGTTTTGACAAAAGTTGAAGAGTGTAGGACACTTGAAAATGCCACAGTGAGAACTCAATAAATTGCCTTCCTAAGCAGGTGATTTGTGGCAAGATGCTGTATTTACCACTGGTGGTTCTACTCTGAAATCCAGATCCATATTCCACAGGTGTATATACAAAAACAAACCCATCCATTAAATGAATTGCCATGTGCTTCTGCCTCTATATGTGTGCCCCGAAACAATTCTGAACTGAGAGCGGTGGGCTGTTTAGGACACAGAAAAAAGCATTGTGTAGATTTCTGGAGTTCAAGCATGTCTTTCTCACCTTACCCAGGATATTCCTGGTGTCTCACTTGCCAAGACCAACCTTCTAGATTAGTTTTTTAGCAAACTGTGGGAGAAGAAAAGACTGAAGGCTATCCCTTCCTTCTGCATGGCACTGGCTGATTTTTTCTCTCACTCCTTCTGACACAGATCCTTCGGCCAGATGAGCACATAGCGAAACAGCGGTACCTCAGTGGCAGGAATGTGCAGACACGGGGCTCCCCTGAGTGGCTTTCCTTCGATGTCACCGAGACTGTGCGTGAGTGGCTTCTGCACAGAGGTAGGGGTCTTAGCTGGACTGGGTGTCAAGGCATCCACAGAAATGGGGATCAGTGTTCACAGAAGTGTCTTTCTGGTCCCCTTGTTACAGGAGTTTAGTTCACAGAGAGGGCAGGTTCTTTCAGTCTGAGAAAAAGCCTTCCTCCAGAAAGCTTCCTCAATGCATGACATTTACTAGATTCCTGGCTCTTTCCTCGACGCCCCATCATTTAGCTCTGTGGGCTGAGTCAGAACGAGGATTCATTCCCCAGAGGAAATTCTTTACAACTAAGCCCAGAGGAGATCCCTCTGCTTGTCTAAATGATCATAGAAAATGACAAATGCTTTACTTAAATTTTCATGTGAATTAGAGCAAATGTAGTATGGGAAAAAGCAGCAAGGATCCTGGCTTATTTAGCTGTGTACAGCTTGTCAAGTATAAAGGTGAGGAAATACCAGAGGCTGACACACCTAGACAGATGGAGGCTTTAACATTGCAAAGAGCATACCTCTGCCACCTCTGCACAGCCCAACAGATAGTTATGGGGCAGTTCCCAGCAAGAACACTGACCCCATTCACAGGTGGAGTATAAGGCATCGTGACTCACAGCTGGACTGGCCTCACAGATAGAAGCTAGGTGCCACTGAAGACTGGAATGCAGGTACTGGCAAGAAGCTGCTCCCTGGAAGGTTAAGCTGTGAGCTTGCAGGGTCCTCCTATTTCAAGCAGTCTAAGTTGTGTCCTGATGGCAGAAGTTCAGAGCTGGAACTGCAGCAAGCTCTGGGTAGGCACACTAGCTGACAAGACATCACAGAGTATATATACTGCTGAGGAAAAAAGGTGCTAGGCACCTTGTCAATGCCCCAGGAAGCCAGATGTTTTAATTCATGGCACAACATAAAAAAGGAGCTTTCATAAGAGTCTTATGTTCCTGTAGTCAGGCCCACACAGCATGACTGGTCCGGGAAGTTATTATGAAAGTAGATTTGCCTCTGGAAAGTCTGTGTGACTTAGACTTGCTAGCAGTTCAACAAAACAGGAGGTTGCAGCTGCTGAGAAAAATGCTTCCAGTAAAATTACTTGTCCATATCCAACTTGCTTGTTTTCAGATTTCTCCTTCAGACACTAAGCAGAAGCCAGATAACAGGTACTGAGGATGGCAAAATTGATTTAAGAGAGCAAAAACCAGCTCTTCAAAATACTTGTTTTTCCAGGGAAGCTCCTTGAAGCTCACAAATGTTTTTGGGTGTTGAATAGCCTAAAAAAAACTAACAAGCACCCTTCTTACCTCTCTACAAAGTTCCCTTTAGCAAGAGCAAGGCTTTTGGCAAAGGTGGAGCTAGTGGATTTTTCTTCCTGTTCTTCCCAAGGCAGCATCTGTTCCTCAACTCTGATAATATGCCTGACTTTGAGACCAACCCATTGTCTAGGAGTTACCACAGCATGTGTAAAACTTCCTTATACCAGGAGCTGTCCCAGCTGAGAAAGACTGTTTCTCACAAAGTCATCTTCTTTGCAGAGTCCAACCTTGGCCTGGAAATTAGCATACACTGTCCTTGCCATACTTTTCAGCCCAATGGGGACATCTTGGAGAATTTGCATGAAGTCCTGGAGATCAAGTTCAAAGGTGATAAAGAGCTGGGTTGTGGGAGGCTGTTGGGGAAGGGAAAGCCTGAAGCATATAAAGAAAAAATGAAGTCTTGCTTTGTGCATTTAAGAACTTTACATTGTGTAACATTTGTCTCAAACCATACACCATCTGTGTTTGTGTGCTCATTATATGGGTATATCCACTATATACACAGGTTACAAAAAGAAGTAAAGGCAGGCTGAGTAGGTTTGCATGAGTGTCTGCAGAAAGGAGTACTTTTTATATTTCAGTGTCTCTCTGGGAAGTTCAACTTGATGCCTTCTCAGATTTCCACAGGGGCTCTACTTTCCAGTTCGGGTGACTGAAACACAAGGAAGTTAGGCATCCTGTGTGAGGTGGCTCAGAAAGTCAGTGGCTTGGCTGGCCTAAGAACTAGGAACCTCCTGGCTTGCAGCCCTGGGCAGCAGCCACTGGCCCCCACAGGCTCCATTTCTGAGGCTGTTCTGCAGAGTGCCAATTATCTGACATCTTCTTTAAACCATTCATCTTCCTGCCTATCCTGGGACTCAAGCCAGGAGTGAGTGGGATGGATTAATGGCCCCACCAGCAGTTTGCAAATGGTAAAACAGGTGGCCCATAAGCCTCTATTTCAGGCCTGCAGCAGTCAAATTCACCAGAAATAAAGGGGTCTCTGTCAGGGAAGAAGTAAGTAGACATGGTGCCTGAACCTGGTTCAAGAGCAAGCATGAGAGTGTCAAATATATTGAAAGGTCCTGTTGCATCCTCCACTTCCATGCTGATTTCTTCTTTGTGGATCTTCTTTTTCTGAAGGCATTGACAGTGAGGATGACTATGGACGTGGGGACTTGGGACGCCTGAAGAAGCAGAAAGACTTGCACAATCCCCACCTTATCTTGATGATGTTGCCCCCACATCGACTGGAGAGCCCTGTATTGGGAAGCCAGAGAAAGAAACGAGCCCTGGATACCAACTACTGTTTCCAGTAAGTGAGAAACCTGCTTGGATCCTGTGCCTGAGGTGGGCAGCCTGGTGAGACTCCATGAGTCCTGGAAAAGGCAGAGCCCTCCAAGGGGGTCGTGGGTCACCGTGGTGCCAGAAGGGCACTGGCCACTTCAGCAGAGTTGCTGTGTGCTTCTGGCAGAGCCACTGGTTCAAAGAGACTCACAAACACCTTGCACGAACACAGGCTGGGTGGGGCCCCACAGCAGCCCCGTGCCCGTTGCTGGAGCAGCTGGGTGCTGACTTGCAGGGGAGGTGGGAAAGCCACCTGCCAGCAGCACGAGCAGTGCCTGGCTGTGCCACTCCTGGCACTTGGCACATGCAGCCACCACGTCCCACCAGCACTGCTGGTACGAGTCCTTCTGCTTAGGAAGCTGCATCTCACAACTGCATGTGAAGCCCCCCTTTAGATTCACTGTGTTTCACTACTGTGTTTCAGGAACCTGGAGGAGAACTGCTGCGTGCGTCCTCTGTACATTGACTTCCGACAGGACCTTGGCTGGAAATGGGTCCATGAGCCTAAAGGATACTTTGCTAACTTTTGTTCAGGCCCTTGTCCGTACCTTCGCAGCGCAGACACCACTCACAGCACGGTATATCCTGTATATTATCCTGCCAGGGCTTGTGGCTGTGATTGCCCCTTCCTCCCTAAGTCTGATCAATATCCAGTCTCTTTAAAGCAGCATAAGCAGTTCAGATCAGTATTTGTGAAAAACATTCCAAGGAAACTGCAGAAAAAAACCTAGGTCGTTCAGCAGGGAAAATGTGCTTGCTTTCCAGTCAGTACTGAGTCTGCTTTCAGGCAAATCTTGAGGAGAAAGATGCTGTTGTCTCTTGGATAAGATGTGAAACAGCTGGACTGATGGTTTTAGAGTACTTAGTCGGCAGTGACCATAGTATTAACTGAATTATTCACAACAAACATCGGTTCTGGTAATTATCTTCTTCCTAAATTTCTCCTGCAGTTTACACTGGACAGATGACATTTCTATACTCTGTGCCAGGTTGTCATGAAGAACTGTTGTGCAATGGCATGTGCCTGCCATCTGCTCCTAAAGGGGCAGCTACAGCTCAAAATTGCAGGGAAATCCAAAAGTGAACACAGCCATTCAGTAAGATCTCCTTTCTCATAGGTATCCTTTCCAGCTGCATAAATCCTACCTGACCTACAGCAGGGAGGAAGCTACTAGGCAGTGAGATTTTTGAGTGACAACTTGGCAGAAAGCAAATGTCTTTAGGTACCTTCGGCATAACCTTTAGTCAGTCTTTGGGAAGAATACAGTCTGAGCCTGCCTAGAGCAAAGAAAATAAAAGTAATAGAATAGCACAGGCATGGGAAAAGTATCAAGAGGAAAACACAGATTAAGGATCAGACAGTCCACTGCTGAAGCAGGAAAAGTCAGAGGAAAATCCTGTGCTTCTGCCCACAAAAGGCAGCAATCCAGATAATGCAACAGCTCACTAGCAAATTAACTTCAGATTTCACTAAAAAAGTTACTGGGAAAAGCAGATTCAGCTGAAGAACAAATAACTATGTAAAGATGATATTTCAGAAAAGATGCTAATATTCTCTTGACATTCTGCATAGCAGTAAGGTTCAGTGAAGCTCAAGGACTAATATCAGTGGGAACAGCTGATCTGTGTGAATGAAGAAGTGAACAGATGCTGGGCAGTAAGCACAAGACAAAGTAAGGGAATGAACAGCTTTGAAAGGGTAATGGGCATGTAGCTTTACCATCTGGTTGTCCTGAGAAGCTCTCTAGAAGGTAACTGAACTGAATCAGTGTGAGGGAAAGGAGACTTTAGAATGACTCCTAATGATCTTAAGCAAGAAAGGATATGAGCAAGCATTAAGGTCAGTGAAGTGATCAAAGAAAACCTTAGAACAATATAGCTGCTGACGGCTTGCCAGCACCACTTAGGAAAGACGTGATGAAAAGAGAACTTCTCACCAGGCATTTAACTTGCTGTTGAGTAGTGGCCCCAGAGCACATGATACCCTGTGGTACAGCCAGGGGTACTTTGCTTAGGATCCCAGAGAGTTTCTACCACAACAACAGTGATTACATGGATCTGGATGATAGAACAGGATGAATCCGTCGCACCTCTCATTCCCGAAGACTGTAAAGTAGTTAAAATACAATGTGCCAGAGCCTGTTCCTTACACCAGATAAGCACTGAAGAGACCACACCAGTGCAGGTGAGATCATGCTCACTGCTGAGAAGTGGTCACCTCTGGCAAGAAATGTGGCAACTGTTCTGTAGTGGTTACATGGCTGTAGTGTATAGTCATCTGTGGGCTCGGGCCAGCTGGGAGGAAGAATCCAGTGGAGTCCCACAGGACACTGTCCTGGCTCCAGTATTATAGTCTAATGACTTGGAGGATGGAGTAGAGGGAGAAAGCATCAGACAGTTCAAAGCTGGGAGGGAATTGTGGATACTTGAGAGGACTGGCATCCATCCAGTGCTATCTGGAGATGTTGGTTGAAATAAGAAGCACTGATATTCTTTCTTCTGGTTTCTTTAATAGAATCCAAGACAGCATGGCTCCAGGCTGGTTACACCCAATCTTGTTAAAAGCAAAAATTGTGACACTCTGCTGTACCAAATTAGAGATGAAAGGAGACAACTACTTGCACTCCTTCAACCCTTAGGGATCAGTCACAAAGAGCAAGGGTATTACAATTAGAAAAAAAAAAACAAAACCAAAAAACATCCCAACAAAAAACTCTTAAGAGTCAGGCCAGGGCAGGTGAGACCCTTTAGAAGCAGGCCATGATGAGGAAGTGACAGGGAAGTATTACTCATCTCAGGGAAATACCCTCTGATGAGCATAGTGCAAACACCTAGAGACTTGTTGACTTGGCAGCCCCTTCATGTCCTCAATCAACTTAAATGTATTCCTGACCTTGTCACAACATTTACTTTGTTCCTGCAGGTGCTGGGTTTATATAACACACTGAACCCTGAGGCATCTGCTTCGCCCTGCTGTGTTCCCCAGGACCTGGAGCCACTCACTATCTTGTACTATGTTGGGAGGACCCCCAAAGTGGAGCAGCTCTCCAACATGGTGGTGAAATCCTGCAAGTGCAGCTGAAAGGCCCCCTGGCCCACCCAAAGCCAAGGAAAAAACTGTCAGCACTCACTCTCCTGCTCCCAGGCTAACACAAAGAGAACCGGGGGTCAGAGACTACGCATGCTGAGGGCCAAGTGCCAAACCTTGAGAGTCTGGCAGCCCTTGGGGATTTCTTCTGGTACACTCCTTGGTCGTCTTGGCAAGTGTAATGTTCCTTCTAGGAAGTACTTTGATGACACAAGGCCACACTCTCCAAAATGGCTGGACAGTTGGTGCGGAAGAAAAGGATAATATGGAAGAACTGCTGTGTATTTGAATGCTGGGTGGTTGAGATGGGAAAGCAAGAGACTGAGAAAGCAGGTGAAAGGGAGAATGGAAAAGAGATGTTTTCTATTCCTGCTTTAGCTTTCTTAAGACCTCAGCCCTCCCCATTAGCCTGAAGTATTAAAGGTTTTCCCTGTAGGAGGAATTTTTGAAGGTAATTTCGTTAGAGAAGGAAAATGCACCAAGCAGGGAAGCTGCTAAGAGAAGAAGTGCTCAGAGATACACATAATGTTCCTCAGAGCTGTGCTCCAGGAGTCCTGCAACTGAAACTGTATCTGCCAGAACCTCTAAGTTCAGTTGACAGATCCTGGCTATTGGGTTCCAAATGCAAACTGCAAGGCTCCCAGTCAGCCTACCAAGGGTGGGCAAATACAAGGAAAGAGGGTGCTGAGTCCATTTTCAGAGGGACTGATGTCTCCAGTCAGCTCTTTTACCTTCCTAGAGTTTCTAAGAGATGGTTTCGGGGTCAGGGCAGGAGCATCTGTGGGTACCTGAATATTGGGCCTATTATTTGTGATCTGATACACCCTGAGGACCTCTTGTCTGTTGTGGTTTGTGAGGTGCTTTAGGGTGTTCTGCACCTATTCTGCATGATGACCTGAACTTGGTCTCACCTGCCAAGACTTAAAAAATAGTAATCTCAAAAACTTTGTAAAAAAATAAATATTTGGGGGGTGGGGGGAGATGCTAATTTTTTTCACAAGCAAGTTTTTTGTTGGAGGGTTGGATGATTTGCTGGTTTTAAACTGCTACTGCTGTGGCATTCTCAGTCTAAAATTTTTACCCTTTTCAAAATGTTTCTTCAAAAGAAGAGATAGAATTTAGGTCATCAAGAAAATCCTAAAATGGAAATTTCCTATTACCCTCAAACTGTACCTGGCATAAACGTGCCCTGTTTCAACCTAGTCCTTCAGACATGTACATCACCACTGGCATCTACTTTTGATAGATTCATATCAAGCTCCCCTGAAACACAAAATACTTTCAACAATACTGTTTAAATATCCAAGGCAATGCAGTTGCCACAGCTGACAAATGTTGCACGTCCATTTGAAGATATATATGGTCTGCCAGTACAGACCTGTACATCCAGGTAAATAACACACCCTTCCCCTCATGTACTGATTTGATGCTCATAAAAAAGATTACAAATGCTGCCTGGGCAAGAAATCAATGAAGTCCTTTAAATAGGCTTTTGCAGCCATAGATACTCCCAGAGGTAAAAATCTCTGGTGCTGAATGCCACATGAGACTCAGAGGCTGTCTCTGACTTGCCAAAACACAGCTATTTAAAAGCCATGTTCTAGAGACCACAGAGGTTCCTCCCCGTCTCCTCCCAATTCCTAGTCCCCAGCAACTGAGTGTAAAACGACACCTAGCTGGTTAATTACTTGCGGCCAGGGCTCTGCACAGTCTGCTCAGAATCCAGCTCTCCATCAAGCCCTTCACAATAGTGGCTGTTTCCATAAGCTCATGTGAGGCTGCCAAACTCTGTAAACTCAAATGTCTTAATAAACCATAAACAGCCTTCCTGAACCATCACCAACTGGATAGAGGTTAGCAGGGGTGGGTCAGTGGAGGCAGCCTGCCAACCTGTGTGCCATTTAGGCCAAGGCACAGGTGCCTTGATAGAGGCACTCCCCAGTGCTTTATCCTTTTCATATCTCTTTGGCTCCCTGACCTGTGTGATTGGTGTGATGATGAAAGCTCTGATCAGTCTTGCAGCACTACAGAATTGCTGTGCCCTGTGCCTCTCCATGCCCAGGCTTCCCTGCCACCTGCCCAGGGAGGGAGCAAATAAATGCTTTATGACTACACCACCATGATGATAGACAGGCCAGAAATTTACTAGTTACAAGGGAGTGTGTGTAGGAGAAATCCAGATGCCTATTGGCATAGGAATTCTCTCTGATCTCCTTTTAGTAGCAGCCTCAAGGGAGGTTTTGGTTTACAAGCTGCAATCTGTTCTTCGGTCATTGTTCCTCCCGAGCCCTGGGTTGACTTTGCTCCCCATCCATCTGAAGGGCTTCCTAGCTCATAAACAGGAGCTGCAAAGGGTTGAGCTAGAACACTTGCACACTCAAAGTTCTGCGTGGCACTTGGAACTCATTGGAACCACATGTGGATTAACCCTGGCAGCCCCTTGAGATGGGACTGTCTTCCTAGCCCTTGTTCACTGCTGCTCCTCAGTGACAGGAAGGGCTGGCAGAAAGACCAAGCCTTTTGCCTCTTGACAAAGGAGACAATGGCAATGGAAAATCAGGGGTGAAGAGTCCTGGGGTGTCCAGCCAGTATAAACACAGGTACACTCATAGGAACTCAATAGTAATTTTTGAAATCAAACAAATTTCAGTTACTGCTTTTCTGTTCAGCCTTCCATTTCCGTTGCAACATTTGAGAATTAGATTTGTGAGACTAAATTTTTCTTAAAACTAAAGCAACTTTTCTAGGGGTGTTTTAGCTATAATTCAGCAACAAACTATACTAAACTACATGGGGTTTAGTAAAAGATTGAATACACTCCTGGGTGCAAGTGTACCAAAATGTTTCAGGGCACTTGTGTGAGAAGCAGAGGGCAGTTACTGTGCTGTTACTAGCTAGCAAATTGAAGAAGACAATGGGAAAGAAAAAATGGGATCTTCATTGCCAACACTGAATACAGCTCTCAACAGTTCCCTTTTGTTGTTTCAGAAACAAACAATCCCCATGATGAAAACAATCCCAGCACAGTTTGTCTCTTTAACAAAGATCAATGGTTAGAGTGAAAAAACCTATTCTGCAGTACCATAAGGCAGATCCTACACAGATGATCAACCAACCATCTGTGCAGTCCCTGTTTCTCTGTGGCAAACTGTTATAGTATGCAAAAGGCCTAGACCTGAACTTGAACACCTTGTTTTTTAGGCTGTAGTGCACTGTAGAGCTCTGAGAGGAACACTGCTTCAGTGAGTACAGAATGTACACTTAAACATCAGCAAAGAATGGTCTTTGCAGACCAAGTGAGTCTTTGTTCTCTGGGTGTTGAATTGGATGGTCTCTAGGAATCCCATTGCACTTACATAAAGCCCATTCCTGTTACCACTGTGTGAACTGGGATAGGATGTTTCACCTTTCCATATAACAAACAGACATCAATACAGTCAGTCAGAAAGATGGACTGTGCCCAAAAGTAATAAATGACAAACATACCTGTCCACTCCTCTGGCAACATCATAGCTCTGTTCTGCTGGGTCCTGGGATGTCTTATATCTCTCTATTGTAGCTATCAAATTTTCATTTTCTCAGTTCACAGATCCTTTTCTTATCTGCTCTGAAGCTTTCCTTATCTGTGACTAGAATATCCTCACCAGAGCAAATATACATGAAGTCTGGCTCAGGCTTCTTTGTAAATGCAATCACTACAGCCATCCCATGAAGAATATCCACTGCAATGTCTTAGAAGGCAGATGTCTTTAATGGGATCTCAAGTACAATGCAGGACAGGTTAAGTATAACTGACCAGAATGCAGCTCTAGAGCCATATCCGCTGTGCAGAAAAGGTTTTATGCCCACTACAAGTGTTTCTACTGGCATACAGAAGAGCATCTCTGTAGTACTGACTTAATGATTGAAAGGCAATGAAGCCAATAATGAAAATACAGTTTTCAATACATATGGAGTCAACAGTGTGGTATCTACACACTTGGAAAACTATACTACTTTGTGGTCTTATTGGCTGCCTATAATCTACATTAATTGTGGTTTAGAATAACAGCAGCAATTTGGATATAGTGCAAGGATGCAAATACGCCTTCTAATTATTTTAAAATAACATCTATTATTTTTTACATTAAAAATCAGTAGAAAAGATTGGTCAAAAGCTGTATAAAATTACTATGTTTAGTAAAAGAAAACCTGGACTTTCAGATCTCTGCTTTACCAGTATTTTCTTTTGCATACAGGGAATTAATTTAAATCCTGAGTAATTTCTTATGCAGTTCCACAATTGACAAATGGAAACAACAAAGCTCAGGGTCTCTTGTTCTCTCTTGAAGAGAGGCCTCAGATGCAAATGCAAGATCCTTTATCATGCAACAAGTCAACACAGAAGAGATGAGAGAGTTTACTGATTATGAAATAGATTGTCTTAGAAATGAATTCTGGTGTAACAACAAGAAACACAGCAAATGAAAACTGTCAATTAATGGTTGCCTTTCTCTAAATGACAGTACTGCATTTGAGTACACTTGCACTTAGGCCCATAATTATAGAAAGAATATGGTACAGCACTTTGGATGTCATAATGTTTCCAGGAAAGACTAATTTCCAAGATTAAAGATCACAGTTACTTGGCTGCTTTATAACACCCTTATGTAGGGCTAGGTTTCTTAGAAAGATGCAGAGATGGTCTAAGGTATTCAACCAAGCAGCTGGGCCCTTTCCACTACTGGCCTATGATTTAATGAAAAATAGAGATAAGGACCTTTCTATGCAGTAATGAATAATGATTTCTTTACAGCTGTGGTTTATGGCAAACCACTCCTCCACTCTTTCCCTGCCCCTCCACACCCCACCCCCCTCCCCATTATTGGTTTCCCACATCCTGCAAACTTAGTGAACAGCTTCCAGGCAGAAGCTCTGTCCCCTATACTGGTTTATGCTGCTACTGTTAACTTAAACCAAGCAATACCAAGTGGTACCTTCTGAAGACAAAGATTTATTTCTCCCTCTTTCAGGAGGGCTGTGATCTTTGTGCAGTTATATTCTTTGCATGTCATTCCACTTAGTTGACTAGGAAAGATCACAGAATGGTTTGGATTGGAAGGAACCTTAAAGATAATGTAGTTCCGACCCCCTGCTATGGACAGGGACACTTTCTTTTAGACCATGTTGCTCAGACTTTCATCCTTCAACATCCCTAGGGTTCCAGCATCCACATTTTTCCTGGGCAGCCTTTTCCAGTGCCTCACAAATCTCACAGTAAAGAATTTCTTCCTAATATCTAAGCTAAAGTTACTCTCAAGTTTGAATCCATTCCTTCTTGTCCTGTCACTACATGATGTTGTAAAAAGTCCCTTTTTGTCTTTGGCTCCCTTCAGGTAGTGGAAGGCTCCAGTTAGGTCACTCCTAACCCATCTCTTTTCCAGGCTGAACAAACCCAATTCTCTCATTCTGTTTTCACTGGAGAGGTGCTCTATCCCTCTGATCATCTTGGTGCCCCTCCTCTGCACTCACTCCAACAGGTCCCTGTTCTTGCTGTGCTGGGGATCCCAGAGCTGTACACAGCCCTGCAGGTGGGGTCTCACAGAGCAGAGCAGAGGAATCCACTCCCTGGCCCTGCTGCCCACGTTGCTTTGGATACAGGACACACTTGGCTCTCTGGGCTGTGAGTTCACATTCCTGGCTCATGTTACCTCTCATCAGTACCCCCAAGTCCTTCTCAGCAGGGCTGCTCTCCATCTGTTCATCCCCAGCCTGTGTTTTTACCAGGGTTGCCCTGACCCAGGTACAGCACCTTGCACTTGACCCTGTTAAACCTCATGAGGTCCTCATGGCCCCACTTCTTGAGTTTGTCCCGATCCCTCTGGATGGCAACACATCCTGCAGGTGCGACAGAAGAGAAGGAAGAAGATACCTCATTGCTGTCCACATGGGGTCAATACAGCAAAAAGTTATCATGTAGGCATTAGGTGTGTTGCAGAAAGCAAAGCAGACTTCCCTTTTCTGGTCTGCCAATACTCAGCCTTTCCTCACTAGCTGTTTGGATATTCACTCATCAGATTCAGAAATGAGGCATTATAATAATATATCATGGCCAGTGCATATTCATCACTTGATGAAAGTAACCAGCTGGGTCATATCAAACCAGATTTCCTGACGTTTTTCAGGAAGGATTTCTCTTTTCTCCTGAAGTTATTATCCTCTTCAGGAAGCAGACAAAACAAAGATTTGCTGTGCAGCCAGGGGCAAATCTTACAGGATTTGTGCAATGCATGTAGTGTAATGATTGGGGAATGTCATGGTAACCATGTTCTGGCCCTTTCTTGAAACAGAATCTTTGCCTTTTGAAGTGCTGAAATCCTCTTGCAGGTTGACTAGATGCTTGGGAGAAAACCACTATTTTCAAGGATTTGTAAGAAACTCCACTTGCAGAGGAAAGCAGTAGCAGACACACAGTAGCTGACTCACAACAATCTCTGAAAGACATCCATCTTGCAACAAGCTGCCTTGCATGACACAATTTGACTTCTGCCCCCTCAGAGACTTGCTACAATAATCTCTAAGTATGCTTCAGGATCTGAAGATCTCATTTAGATACTACCATGCTAAATGCTCTGTCATGATAATCTAATGAACTGGAAAAAAACGAACAGAACAAACAAAGAGAAGCAAAAGAGATGGCAATAAAATCTCAAGCAAGTGTAGTGTGGCAGCAGTCACATTGTGCTGAAGACACATTTTAAATTGTCTTATTTTTTGTCAGTTTTACCTGCCTTAATTCAAAATACCTGGGCCACAATTTAGCAGAGGGAGCCACCAATCCTTATTCTTACATAATTGTCAAAAGGAAGTTTTACTACACATATGGAGACATGAGTTTTGTAGGTTTGTGGATAAGGAAAAAAAATCAGGCTGGTATCACAGACAAAATGTATTCCACGTTGAATTTCTGGAATTAGCAATAGTGGATAAAACACTTTCAGGAAGGAAGATAACCCGAGATTGAATGGGGGAAGCATCATGCAACTAGAAGCATTAGTAATACAAATAGTGGCACCAATGGGATGCCTAAAACTTCCTAGCAGATTCACAGCTCTCTATCTGCATCTTGAAGAACCGGTGTATTAAGACATCCTAGGTGTATTAAATATATCTGACACAGCATAACTTTTTCAGAAGATCATATAAATAAGGCAAAACCACATGAAAACCATGAGGTAAGTCCTATAAAATAATTACTGGAAACAGTGTGAAAAAAATCCCTTGTTGTTTTTCTTCCCTAGACTCAGAAAAAGGACAGTTTTACAGTAGAATGAGGGAGTGATGACAGTCAAGCATTTTGACTTGTCAGTACAGAAACATTTCAAAGATTCCCTCCTGACCCTTGACATGGTAACACTCAAGATAAGGGATCAGCTCAATAACCCCAAAATATTTCTGGGGGAGATTTTATGACTTTGGAAGATAACTACACTGAGTACTGTAACTAATCTCCCCTTTGTGTGGGGAAAGGAGACTACACTTCACCATTGCTCTAACTATGGTGAAATATTTCTGAAATATTCTTGCATGGCCACCAAATTGAACTAATTTGAACTAATTGAACTGGGGTTGTCTTCTGTTGCATATCCCAGAACAGCAGAAGGCAAAATGTCAAATACAATGTTGAAATTGCTTTTAGAGATAACAGCACCTCTTTTACCTGCCCCAAACAAATGATAAAAATTTTGTTAATAAAAGATGCATTTTTAACAGCCCCTAAATCCTTAACAACTACATCACATTTGGTTTTTTTAAGGCAAATTTGATTTGTCTGAGAGGTCAAATAGAGAAGCCACCTCTTTTCAAAGAACAGAAGATTTCTCAAGCTCACTGTCTGTGCTGTAGGCATAGACTTGTAGAGAAGAGGCCCTGTTAAGTATAGTGTTTTCCCTTGGGAACCACTATGATTCACTGAACACCACTCACAAAGGCTTCATACCAGGGTCTCCACAGTGATCAGTGATTCTCTCCTTTTAATTCAAAACAGCAGTGAAAACTCCTTTTCAATGAGGGCCAATAAAATCCTTTTTTGGTAAGGTAATAGAGCAGACTTCTCAGGGCAGACTTGGTGTTGTCACCTTCAGCTCAGTGGAGTTATCCTCTTGCATTACAACTTCAAAGGAAGACTCGGAATCCACAATTTTGAGATCAGTCTGCATTTCCTAACTATTCATCTCTAAGTCCGCAGGGAACCTTCATTTTTTGGAAAAGGACAGCAGTGTTCTAAAGTGGGAAGGAACAAGTCACCAGGCTCATTAAGACATGCTGTGGTTGTGCACATTCACCTTGAAGGTGCTGTGCACTCGAACTCTTTGGAAGACAAAGATGGCAAGAAGTGAAATGTGTATGAATAAGGTAATTCAAAAGCTTCAGTTAGTGGAGAGGTTTTTTTCCATATTTATGCGATTAACCATTTACAAGGATCGTATTATCAATGACTTCCACATAGAAACCTACTTTCCTCCAAAATTCTAATTTGTCTAGAGGTGGATCTTGGTGTCCCTTATGTTCTTTTAAAAGTTTCATCATTCTGAAAGGCTCTGCAATATATAGTGCCCACCAAGGTGAAAGCATAGACAAGTTGCATGTGACAACTTGGCATATGTCAGCAATAGACACTTTTCTTAAGAAAACTCAACACCACAGGATGAATTCTGGTGGAACATGCCATTGTCATGAAAGTAGCTTTATCTTGGCTGTTCTAATAGTCTGTACTGCAACTCTCAAAATACAAACCCCATACTAAGTCAGACTACCTAGCCCAGCTCTTGTTGGACAGAGGTCAACAGCCCATGCCTGATGCATAAGTTAGAAATTAGAACAGCCCATTGTGAGACTTCCCCAGAATAGTAATTTGAAAAGTCTTAGAAACTTCCTGGTTTTCAGTTTCAATATTTAATATGCCCTAACAGATTACTTTTTCATGGATTTGTCTACTTATCTTTTCAAACCACATATTCTTTTTTGTATTCACATTTTGTAACAAGAAATTCCATAGGTCAAGTACATACCGAGGAAAAAGGTTGCCATCTCCCCCTACTTTCTTAATTTTTTTTGAAACTTTTATCTGTTAGTTTCATTTGATGCTCCTACTTCTAGTACGCATGATTGTGAGCAATTACTCCTTTTTCAACTTCTCCCTTACATCCCTCCTTGCTCATCTCTTTTCCAATTAACCACTTTCTGCACAAAGAAAACTATGAATGTTAAGTTGTTGACATAAGCAATCTCAGTTCTGTAAAGCTAAAGAAAGTTCTCCTGAAGTTTGGTGTAAACAAGGATGTCTCAGCTTCAGAAACATGAGGTTCTAGAAGGAAAAAAAGCCCACTCCCAGATTTAAGTAAAGCTCAGAAGCTTCTCTTGGAAGAAACTTATGACAGAACCATAAGAATAATGTGTTCAGAAAGCAAATAATTTGAAGAGGCTCAATCAGCCATTTACTGCAACCAAAAAAATCCAACTGTTTATACACCAGCAAATAACCCATTAAGATTCAAACATGAGCCCAGGATTATCAGCAAATATAGGACTGACTAAGGAAAAAAATCCTTGGCAATTTCATCAAGTAAATCTTAAAAAATAAAACAGAAGCCAGGCTACTTTTGTTTCCAGCAAATAATCCAAAATTACTGGAAGTGGTGTATTAGTACAAGGTACAGGCCTTAGAGAATGCATGCTGAGAATCCAAGCCTGTTTTGTAAAGTCATCTGTGCATCAATGAGCTCCTCAGATAAAAAAGAATGGTCTGGCACTGCCAGCAACTCAACTCCATGCATATGGAGAGTATCTGTTATGAGGAAAAGGCACAGCACTGAGATTCCTACTAGTAAACAAAGGTCTTGATACCAAAACTTCCTTCCACAATGTGGAACCCATATCAGAGATGCATCTGTTGACCTTGCAGGCATCATAGTGAGGAGCATTTCAACCAAATCATGATTGTCCAAAAACATACCTAGTCATGAGAATATAAATTTCAGTCCATCTTGTTGGCATCCAAGACTAAATAGTTTGTCTAGGGTCACAACATGATCTCCCACTAATGGCACTCACATGCCCTGTGAGTCTGTTTTAAAGGTCAAGATAAAACATGTTAAAAGGAAACTTGATACTTCATGTATTGAGCACAAGTCAGCTCTTCTGGAAAGGAGAGACTCTAATATCCCTTCCCTTAATTTTTATGTCGTGGTATGCTCATCACCTAAAACACAGCACACAATGCTGTATGAACTCTTCATTAGCTCAACCTCCAGGACTCTGATGTGCACATTACTGCTTTCAAGGCAAATAAGCCTAATGCTCTGTCACTAGAACAGTCTCTGTAATTTAGAAGTGATACAAACATCACAGAAGAGGGGGGATCTTTTGATTACATTATTCACTGTCACCTCCGAAATAGATGCTCAATGATTGTTGGGGCTTTCTATTGGTAATTTTCTTACAGTGAAGAAGGACATTTCTGATGGAACCATTGAAGGATACAGAGAAAAAATAAACCACACTTGAGGAACACATATAACTGTATTCCCAATGTGCAACTATTATATATCCAAAATAGTTTGCTGTTCTACTTTCCTCCCTCATAGTAGAAAACACTTCCTGTAAAATACCTTCTCTCCCTAGATGGGTGAGAAACAGTTCTATGCTTCCCCACTGAATCTCTTAACTGGAGCACTGCAAGGCTTATGGAAAGGGACAGACAGACATGGCAGAGCTGCAAAGAGACAAAATACACGTTACCCTTCAGTACACAGTACCCATCATGCACAAAGACATATGGACTACAGGCTGAAGGGCACAGGGGGATGGAAAAAATAAGAGGCTGGAATCACAGAATTTGTTCCTGATTCCTATTGCACATGTTCCCAGTGTATCAGCATTTGTGTTCAGAGATGGGATCAGCAGATGCTCAAGACAAAGGAATACTGCTATGTCATTTGATGCTCTGGTTGAGCACATCCATAAATAGGAATTCAAGGTCTAGGTGTTCGGCTTCAGGTAAAGGGCCAGTCTTGATACTCCTGGGTTGGGTTTTTTTTATTTTTTGGAAGCAGGAGAAAAATTTTCCCAGGTAAAAGGATGCAAGTCTTCACTGCTCCTGACAAAATTCATCCCTTCAAAATAAGGGTCTCAGACTACACCGTGCATTTTCCTGAATCTTTAAAAAATCTTAGAGACAGGATATTTAATATACTGCTACCAAGTCATCACTGTTACAGATGTGGTGGTTGGCTACATCTAAAATGCAATGCAAAGAAGTTCAGGAAAAATGTCTATAACCAAGTTCAAATCATTATTCCAAAATGAGTGGGTATGATACGGCTAAGCTGACAAAATAATTCACCTGTGTTCATAATAAGCCAGCACTAATTGGTAATTTTCTTGACAAAGATGTAAGAATGTTGCTTCTGACAATGATTCCTATAAGACAACCACCTTCCCTGAGCTAGCTAAATCTCTATCCTACAAACCTCTCTACAGTTTTCAGCAGTGGCTGTGATAATCTGAACAAACAAACTAGAGAATAAAAGCAGAGATGAGAAGTCCTACGAGATGTATATCCTGCAGCTGTTAGTTACTGAAGCTAAATCTTATATGGAAATAGCCCCTCTGACTGAGCTGGAGGTGACAGCCAATACCATGCACAGCAGAGTAGGCTGTGAGAAGACAGAACTAAGGTCTGTGGTCTCGAAGCCCACAGCTGCTGAGAATATGCACAAGTCTGAAGTAACAACTTCTGCAACTAAACTTTCACTTATCATGAGCCAGCAAAAACGTGAACTTGATCGTGACTGTCTTACAGAAATGAAAGATAAGCTAATGAAGGGAACAGTTGTATCAGAAAGCTGCATTTTGGACAAGTAAAGTATTCAGTGTGCCACGTGTGTGGTGTACCAGAAATAGAAAAATGCATGTTCTGTCCTAGGAATTCATGCCTAAAGCAAGTGATGGTGAAACTAATAAGGTATGAACATAATTATTTAACCTTCTCACAATTTATCTGGTCTTCAGTGACAGAAAATATGTGGAATCCAAGAGTGAAAACAAACATAACCATTTCAAGAGAAAACACCTTCCCCCTCTGATACAGTCTCTTCTGTCAATCCCTTGGGTTGATCACTATCTACTTGTCAACACATTTGAATGATCTCTTAACATTGACTATACAAACTAGAAAAGACAGAGGAAAGTGGAGCAAGAAATGATATCAAACAGGACGTTGAATCCAATCTCTGAAGACTCTGATACAAGCTATAGAAGATTTTTTTACCTTTGAGAACTATCAGTCACACCCCCTCACTGTTGGACAAGGCAGAAGAAGGAAAATACTGAGTTTTCCTTTGACTTGGCACCAACAAAGAGTCAGAGCTGAAGCTGCTTCCTTTTCATTTTTAAGGATGGATGGATCTTCTCTCCAATATAATTTCCAGCTGCTGACATTGTTTGCAAACTAATTTTCATAACACTAGGCAAATTTTAACTGGAGTGCTTCACCAAGATACTATTGCAACTGATAAGAGCCACCTGGGCCTTAGGGTTCAAGCCTGGGGCTGAAAACATCAGCCAATTTTAAAAGTTTACAGTCTGAACAAACAGAAATCAAAATATAAAATAAGCCACACAGAATACAAGTGTACCACAGTGAAACAAAGACAGATTTAAAATCCTGTCCAGTATAACAACAGCAAATATTTTGGGCGTGTGAATTAATGACTGAAATTATAACCACAACAAATAAATGAAATTACTTTATTTAAACTGTTAATTTCTATGGCTCTGTGCCAAAATTCAAGTTGGCAACCAACATAGACATCTCCAGTCGCATGTTCTAATATTTTTCTCTGCTGATGGTTGCCACGTGATGAAAGTGTGGAATCTTGGCTATTACCAGACTAGAACAGATTGAAATGGCTGAGCAAGTGAGACTTTATGTTCAAACCTGGACTTTAGGAAGAACAGCTGCAAGAAAGATCTCTTGTCTTGCAAAAAGATCTCACACAGTTAGTGATCAGGAAGAAATGGAAGGAAGGGACAAAGACTCAGCAGCAGAAGATCTCAGAAGCACTCATTCACCTCAGCTTGCAGGTGTATCACCACAATCTGCTTTCACAGATGTTTAGATACCCTTTTCAGTGTTCTCTCACCAAAGCCTCCTCTTCTCTTTTTTTTGGCTGATATGGGAATGTGATGGTGTGATGTCACTGCTGCTGCTTCTTCCTTTGTCCCACACTTGATGCAACTCTCGGGATTCCTCACCTGGAGTTCTGTGTTAATCCTTCTCTGCGAGCAGAAGCTGGGAAAAAAAAACAAAGCTTTTTTTACTCATAGATTTCGAGTAATCATGGAGGACTGTTTTGTGGGGAAAACTACTGCACTGCTATGCAAATCTCAGCCATGACCAGAAACGTGGGTGTCCCTACCACACAACCTCTCTACCACAGTAGATGAGATCACAGACCAGTATAACAAAACCTAACTTAGTAAGCTGGAGTGTGGAAAAGGACTCTTGGTATTCCTTTCAAGCACCAGAATACTTTCTTCACTCTTGCTTCTAACTCAGGTGACTCATTTCTTCACATGCACCCTCCTCTAAATCTTTCTCCCATATCAGCATGCTTTCTCTCTTTCTTCGGGTCTTTTACTCATTTGCTTGCATGACAGTCTACTTCACCACTCCAACACATGCTGAGGACCTTGGTACAAGAGAGCTATGGGTGTGAGAATGTTGATCTTTAAAAAGAAACAAAATGGGAATATGGAATTTTCCCCCCCACCCCCCATTATTATAAAAATACAGTTTTGGCTTCTACAGAACTGCAGCATTTTAGTATCTAGCACATTATGGGAAAACGTCAAGGTCTTTTGTCAAATGTCAAATCTTCACTTCTTTTACTTAAACATCCTTAGACAGCCCTTCAAAAAGAAAAATCCAAAACACTTAGAAATGTACCAAGTTTATTTTGGACAGCTTGCATTTTACAGCTAATCTAGTAGGTAAAGCTTGTCCTGTGTATTTGGCACATCAGCTTGCTCCTAAACATGAGTGACATTTGTTGAGAGCTGTTTATTAAAAATATTGCTATATTTAAAGAAAATACACTCTCCTTGAAAGTCCAGCATAGAGCCAAACATCACAGAGCACAGAGGATCTGGAAAGATGTTTAGAAAGTGGAATTGCCAGCTATGTCACTGCACAGAAAGTTTGAAAACTGATTTAGGAACCAAACTGTCAACCATGTCCATTAAGATACAATACCAGTCCAGAAACATATCCCTTGGCAATATGCTGAAATTAAGGAAACAAAGGCACATGAGAGAAGGCAGCCAACTTCAACCTCATTTTCCTGTTTTGAAGATGTTTGAACCTTCCTATACATACAGAAATGCATAATAATTAGTCTTTTCTCACAAACGGAGTTAAAAGCACTTTCCTTGAGTTCTTGTATGATTACCTTGAAGACTTGGCACAGAGAAGGGCATTCCTATGTCTACACAAGTAAATATGTAAGTTTCTTACAAGAGTGCAGCTTGTTGCCAATTCAGTAATTTCATAATTATTAATGTATAAAATTCTCAGAAGTTTTATAATTTCAAAGCGACTGGTGAGCAATCCACCTCCTTGGAGTTGAGTAGATGGAGGTTCTGGTTGAGTAGGGGGAACAGAAAAAAAGCTCATTGCTGAAGAAGCCAACGTTAAGGGTTGATTGTCTCCAGTGATAAAGAGTCATTGCAGTGAATCATCACATATAAGCATATGAGCCTCCTTTATTCTCTGCCTGCCAGGAGGTGTCAAAGTATCTGCCTGTATGTCTGTCCACATGTTTACACACTATTATGTCATCCATGACTGCACCTCAAAAACTTACAACAGTCACAGTGGGAAGAAAAGGATTACCTCTCTTATGGATATGATTCTGAGTCACAAGAAAATCAAAGGAGTTGAATGAAGTCATTTAAGAGATATCTGCATACTAAAATTCAGTGCCACATAGACTTTCCCAGCACAGATGCACATAGCCTTGCTCACAAACCAGCACATAATCTGCTGTGCTTCCAAGCTGCAGGAGTAAGACAGAGATGAGAACAAGGCTAGATGACAGTATTGGGTCAGGAACCCATGCTAATATTTTTTACAGCTAGTTTGGACTTTTTAATCTTACACACAGAAAGTTTGTGGGAGAACTGAGCAACATACTGAGGTCTCCTGAGTCTAGTGTTGTAAACAAGAACTTATTTTCTCCCTGAAAAGCTAAGATTATCTTAGAAATTCAGATTTTTTTTTAATCCCAGAGTGAATTTCTGATCTTAGAATGATGCCCAGCATTCTCTTGATAATACGTAGTATAACTAAGAAAAGCAATAAATAAATTAGGTTTATTTATATCTATGGGTGACTGACACTAGCAAGCCAGGACAGCTGACAACAGAAAGCCAGCCTTCCCTCCCCCATATTTTGGGCACAATTTCGACCTGACTTGCTGGACCAGGAAGGCAAGGGAAAGCAGCAGTTCCAAGTCATGAAAATTTTCTTGGGGGATGGGGAGGAGTGTGTGTAGGGAGTGTGATGTGTAGTCATGAACAGTACATACAACTGTGTTCCAGAGAAGTCTTCCTGCATAAAAAAGCAGTGAGCAGACTCACTGACAAGTAGAGAAATACCAGTGGAAGTCAGCATAAGCCTTCCTGCTCCCCATGTTAAAGACACTTACCACACACTCATCCCAACTGCTAGTGCCCTTCTGTACTTGACAACCTTCTTTCTGATTTCTCTTATTCACCTCTCTACTCCCTGGTTCACTGTGGCTCTCTCTTCTCTGGCTCTTCCCCACATTTCATTTCATAACTTCAGACACACATTTTAGCCTATTCATACACATTTTGGCTTCTATTTTTAGCCTCAATAAAACAATGCCAGATTAAAACAAAATCCAATTTGGATGGGCAAAGGCATCCTCTCTATAGGTAGCTTAATGCCAAAGGACCAGATGTGAGACAGAAGCAGCCAAAATATTATATAACCTCTCCCCAGTATTTGCACACCTGATCTTGAATGACATTTCCAACACAGCAAGGAAATGCAGGCAGTTCGCCATCACCTCACTATTGAGAACAAGCAATGCCCAGCCTCCCATCAGGCAAAAATGCCAACTGCCTGCAATCATCACTTATCCTGCTTTGGAGTTTGTCAGAAGCGAAGGCTCCTAAAATTCAAACTGAGTTGTAGCTCTTAGACAGGGAAGCTGATTCTAAAGACTGCTCTTTCCATTTTCTCCTGCTTTCTCAGGAAGAGTCCTGAGATGTGGAATGTCCTTTCAGTGGCATGAGTTCAGCAGCAACAGGAAAAAGCTCCTTCCTTTCATAAAAGAAAGGCAAAAGGTTGAGTAAAGATATGACATGCAGGTTGCTCTCACAAGTTAAGTAATAAACATAATTTCTGATAATTAGAAGTGAACAGTAACCAGCAGTTCTAGCTGAGACGTGACGGCTGAGTTGGATATTATCTTCTTAACATCATCTCAGAAGTGCCTGGAATGCTGCTTCTGGCAGCACTTTACACTCTGCTTAGACTTAATGAGACTTACATACACGTTTTTCAGAACTGAGTACACTCATAGTCATGTCCTGTTCATAACTTGTATCTATTTTAAAGATACTGATCCGAAACATCAATATTTGCTCATTGTTAGTCATAAGATAATGGTTCCCTGCCCCTCCAAAGAGTACTAAGAAATGGGATAAAAAGAAAGCCTCTTTACCCTTCTCCTTTCCCTTTTGGTGAATCTGGTACTACAGGCTTATGTGTCATTATCTGACCTAGGACTGATTCATCAACTAAAGAAGGGAGTGAAATTATTTTTACCCCCTTCGTGTGTGCCCTCCTTGTAAAACTGTGGAAGTCAGTAGGGGTAAGAGAGAAATTATTCAGGATATTTTTTGATGCATAAAAAACCAATGGCTTTAGGAAGAAAACTATAAGAACAAATGTGCAACTAAATATCCTCCATTGTAACCGATTCTTTGCCCTCCCAAAAAGGGAGGCACAATAGTAGGATTCAACTCAAGCTCCACGGCTTTCCAAAATATGATAAAAGTATGATTCTTTTCTCAATGATCCTTTCTCTTCCTGGAGACATTACAGAGAGATACTGACAGAACTGTTAACAAAGGCTATATGCAAGGCAAGAGACTGCACCAGAAAAGTTTGATGCAAAGTGCTGGATATCACACAGGAGCTCCCTCTTCAATGATCCACCCAGAGCTTCTCAGGCAGACAGGTGGTTCTGAAAGGATTTATGTGGCGCTCATCCTGACTCCAGTCCCAGACTAGGATAAGTAATGAGATGACATCAAAAGTTGCTATTTTGTGTCATAAGATACCTTGTGCCTGAGTAGTCAAAGTAGCCTGAGGTAGAGGTTACTCGAGGTGCCCATTTCAAGGTCATCTTTTAAAGTGAAGACCATTTGTGCAGTCAGTCACAGCAACAACACAGAGAACCAGGAGGGTGGCAAATGAAGACTGGAATTAACAGGATTAGTGAGAGGGAGGCAGCATATCAGCAACGTGCTGTGTAGAAACCTGAGTGATTTCTTTTCCCAGCTGCTCCTGATGAAGGATTTGGACAGTGTGGTGAGACCAGCTGAAATCATAGTCAAGGTTCCTTCTGGGAATGTGGTAACAACATAAAAATAAATACATTGGTGTTCAACAATCTACTGCTTTCCAAGGCTGCAAGGAACCTGGCAGAAGCTGAGGAAGCCTGGACAAGGCTGGGCAGCTGGGAATTCCACCCCACTGTAACAAATGGCTGGAAATCTAACACAGGCCATGCACAGTGGTAACAGTACATATTACATCCAATCCCTACCCTTTATGCTCCAAGACAGTTGAGAGATTCTCCTTGATAAAATCTCCAAACTGCACCCTTTTTTTCATTTGTTTAGATCTGGCAAAAAATATGAAGTGATTGTATATGTCTTGTTTATATGCCTGCTGTGTTTATTTGCCTTTTTTTTTTTTCCTGGACCAGGACAATTTAGAAGCTTATATATTTGCATACCTGCTAAAGGACTCTAAAGAGGCTGCATTTCAAGAATATTGTTCAAGCAGTGGATAGACAACAGCCAGTCAAGACTTAGCACCTCCAATGTTAACTCTAATTTCAAGTCTCCAACAACACGACATATAATAACATGACCTTGTTTTGAAGGTCCATACAATAATCTTGGATATGAAAAACTTTAGAAATATACAGTCTACTTGTAGATTTTCTGTAAAATGAAAAAAATCTGGAGCGTGCAAAATGGTGAGAAGAGTAAGTACAAAAATGCTTGTTACTGTCACTAGTTTACAAGCAGGCTCCATTCATTGCTCCATACTGGACCACAATGCTTACACATCTATCATATTTGGATGGCATTCAGACACTGCTCTCCACTTAGTGTAAAGAAGGATATCACTAGAAAATGAAGAATAGCAATGTGCCTTCTACATGGATTAGATCCAAACCATTTTATTAATCTCCATATTCTTCTAGTCTCTTTGCAGATCAGGATGCTGTTTTAAGCCCTTACAGAAGATAACACACTTTATTTCAAAGAGTTGCATACTTTCTGGCCTTGGCATTTATGCAGATATGGGGGCAGGTGAATGTCTAAAATAAACAGACAACTGTTCACCACCCTGCAACTAAGCACAGCTACAGAACTGAGAATCATGGGAAATAAAATCAAGTCTATACCAATTAGCTCAAGAAGTTTCATTCCAGTTTCAGATTGAGTTTTGACACTCACTTTCTGCATCAAGTATTCTCCAGAGAACTAAAATACAAATAAATTAGTTTTGGACTCATGTTTTCAACCAGACTAGGTAGAGATCCAAGACTTTGCAGGAATTGGCGGTCTTCACTGTTAAACTTCAAATGCATATTATTAATTTTTACCTCCCCTAATTCTAATGGTTTTTTCCTCCTCTCAGCAGACACAGTGGAAAAGTTATGTGGACACTAGTAATATAAACATCAGCACAATAAAACTGCATTACTGTTAATCAGTCTGATTATGGAAAGATGAAGGTCAAGTTTGGAGCCAGGGACTAGTCTTGCCCAGTTTTAATCATGATTCATATTTATTTGTAATTATATAGTTTATTAGTACGTTATGTTTTTGTCACAGAAAACCAGAAACCCAGAGACATTCTGTCTTCTGAAGCTTTTAAAATAAAAGTGTCACAAACTCTCCAGAAGCTGGCAGGAAATGAAGGAGAAAAGCCTATAGAACACGAGTGTCATTCATACAGCATCTCAAAAGTTGCTGTTAACCTTTGGAAGTCAAACCAAACCAAATAAAACCAACTTGAGCATCCACTCTACAGCTGCATTGAGGGGCTAACTGTACTTTTAGATTGTTCCTATCTCCAGGCCCTTGCAGACTCAGGAATAGAGAAGCCAGCCACCCAGGACAGTGCTGTTATATTTTCATAAAGTGCTCTTCATCCTCTAGTCTCCCCAAAACCTCCTTTGTGTTATCATTTTCAAAAATGAAAAATAATAAATAGAATTAATTTCTAGCTTTGAGATTGACACATAACTACAAAAATTCCTTGATATTTCTTGCCAGCTTGTTCAAAAGATAAATTCTGGTGGAAAAAAATGACTTTTTTTTTTCCTAGGCCTTCATTTTCTCAAGAAAACAAATTCACACACTATTTATCTAATGCCACTAGAGAGGAATGGAAAATAAACTAGCAAAGCACAGCAAAATGTCTCCATTTGCACCACCTTGCATTCTTAAAATATACAGTAAAATAAAAATGACCAGTCTGACCATTATCTGAACTCAAGCACAGCCTCCATGCATCAAGCACATCCTCCTAAAGACAACCTGGACCTGGACAACCAACCACGATACTTAGCTGTTATTCAGCAAGCTATACTCTGAAGAAGACTTTGAAAAAAAAACTGGCTCCTTAATTCAAAATCACCCTTTGTTTCAATAACACTAATTGAATTGCTAAACTCCATGAAACAAGAAACAATCCATGTAATGCTGATGGACCCTCAAAGTAACACAGAATAAAAAAAGGAACGTGATAATGGCTTTATTTTCAGAAACCCACTAGTAGCTGGGTGTTCAGTGAAAACTCAGGTCACAAGCAATTTAAATGTTCCCTAGAGGTATACTTCTTACTTCCACAAATTTTGCTAAGAACCTGTCTCTTCAGACACTACAAATAACACCCACTTGCTATCTTGCAAATTTAGCTTCCTGCCTGTATAAAGTCATGAGGCTCTCTGCCTTTGCCTTCTCTCTCATTACACCAGTGACAGACAGCTCCCACAGCTTCTGCCTCTCTATGAAATGAGGATGAGGCTACTTTCATCATAATGGTGATTTGTTTCAGAATCCTGAGCTACTCTGCAGAAATATTTTATTTTCCCTTTTATTTCAAAGGATCTGTTCTTGAGAGCTTAAGCCCACTGCACAACTGTGTCTACAACTGCTATTTTACAGTTGCAGCACTAATGAACTGTTTTCTGGACAGTCTAGTTAAATAAAAGTTTTCATACTGCCTGACTCTCTCTTCCATTGAGCTTCATCCTGGCTTGAGGTAAGATCACTCGTGACACCTTTATGCTTCTTCACAGAGCCCCATAACTATTCTCAGATAGGCTGTTAGAGGTGAAGGCCTATTCAAGCTTCTCAGACATTTTTGAACATCTGTGTGTATGTGTTTACACAGAGGTTCTGCCTGGTTCTGCTTTTATATCTGCAGCTTTTCACATCCTTCTATCTTCAAATGCTTGCAGTTTATTCTGTGATTTGCTTTACGACTTGTGTGTCCAACCTCTCTAGTTGGTATCTAAGTTACTAAATACATGTGAAACAGTAACCCCAAGTAAACTGCTGCTGAGGGGAAATCGGGGCCCTAGTGTAAGCAATCAATGGAGAGAGTGAAGAAGAGAAACAGCTGTTCCTGCAGCAAAGACTACTACTGCAAAGGAGTTTCTGAGACACATAAACTGGGCACAACAGCCTCTGACACATACCAGTGACTTGGTGCAAAGCTGAAGAAAATATTGTTCCCCAGTTTCCAAGAATAAACATTTTGCTCTAGTTAGTTTAATCACGGCAATATTTAGCCCTGTTCTTGGAGCTATGTACCTCTTTTAGTAGCAAGGAAGCTTTGAGTGACCCACCCATCATGGTTCTACTAGCCTACCCCTTGCCAAACCTGGGCTTTGCCTAAGCCCTGATACTCTTAGCTAAATAGCAGGCTAACCCTTTGTTTCAGCTTCAGAGAGGGTAGTTTAGCACAATGCAGCTACACCAGTTCTACAGAAGGAAACATGAGCTGAAGTTCTCAATTCCCACTGGATTACAAGTATTCACAAACTACTCTGAACTTCAGAGTTGCATACCATCATTAATATTATCATCCCTCTTCATGCATGCACTGTGTAGGTATTCACAGAAATGGGGAAGGATAGCAAAATGCTACCTACAGTTATCATGGACACACGTAACAACAGTATCCAGATGAAAGGGAGAGATTCTCTTGGAAAGGTTAAAATTACAGGGTGGCAACTGTAACAGTACTCTTGAAAATGTGAAAAAGAAGGCAGAATTTAACACACAAACACCTTCATGTACGTCCACTCAACAAACCAGTTTTGTCAACAGATTGAGAACTCAATTTTTACCTTTACTTTTAAATTGAGCTGTAACCTTGCTTTACATACTGTACTAAAACCTTAAATTGCACTATACAGTAGACCAAAACTTTTGACATATAACACGGGGTTGATATATAACACAGGGTTTTGATATATAACACAGGGCTGACATGTTTTTATTTATTTTGATAATCCCATTATATGCCAGGGTACACTGTCCTGTTCCAACGTACCACAGAGTGTTTTATATTGACTATGGCCATTCACCCTATAAAACTTCTGGTAGGGTAACTAGAGTTTTTGGCAGGTAGTAAACTCTGGGAGGCACTTTGGAACTGTATGTTAAGTGCATTAGCTGAATGTTTGTGCTAGAGGATCAGCAAAGAAATCACTGATATAAGTAAGGAAAATATCATATTTTAAGTTTCAGAGATAGATATCCGAGAGATGAACTGTGTAGTTCACCCCTCCACAAACTTTTCTTTCAGCCTCTGAAAACACAGAGATCACTGCATTAGTGACACATAATGTTTTCACAGTACCACTGCACACTAAAAGACCAGAAACATAATTTTTCAAAGCATTCTCAAATATAATGTGTCTATATATTCCATTACAGCACTATCACAAATTACTGTGAGCCACAGGTAGTATGGATTTACAAGATTATGCTCTACCTGCCAATAGTCTGCATAAATGAAAAACTGATTGGGTCCTCATTTGCTGAGAACTTATCAGCAGATGAACCTGTTTGAATTAATTAGCCACTAGGAAATGACAAAGATTTGATTCTGTAACTCTCAGTGATTTTCTATCGGATACTCTCACCTCTACTGACTGATTTCACTACGCAGCTGATTCACAAGTCTCAGCTATGTCTTTCTGCACTAAGAGCTTTTCTGCAAGACCAAAGAAAAATGTAAAGAATGTTCTAGCCCTTTATTACAGGCCAAGCTTAAACAAGAAAGCATCTTGAGCCAAAGTCTAAAGCAAAAAGGAACCATTTGAGCCAAGGTAGGTTTTCTTCTCCCCAGCCATATTTTAAGGGGTCTTCAAACTCTATGAAACACAGCCTTTGCTCCCTTCTGTTTAGTCTTTTTAATTCCAGGGGGTATAAATTCCCTGCACAGATGAACCCAGACTGTTACCTAGGATCCACTACATGTAGAGGAGGCAGCTGTGTTTCTTCTTGCTGATAGTTCTTTTTTCCTGCCAGTTCTCGAAAAAGATGAAAGTATCCCAGCATGCCCATCCCCACTTTCACAGTCTCTGGCACTGTCACTCACCTGTGGAATATGTCCCTGGCTCACAGGATGCAGCACTGTGAAGGCTGCTCTGGAATCCATTCAGTTGCTTTTCAGTGGAGGTGACCCTAAGAGGTAAAACCATAAAATTAAACAGAGATAAGAATTGATAGAGCAAAGAAGAATAAAAGTCTCTGAGAATTCCCCAAGTTTACATAATCTCACTGGGACTGTAACCATGAAGCTGTGCCTGAACGTGGTAGGAAAAAAAGCAGCGACAGCAACTGACTCCAAAAAAGCAGAGCAACACAAATGAACAGCCAAGCCACCAGGAAAACTTTGATGTGACTAAAACACTTAATTATCTCACGTGCCTTGGAAGCTGATTCTGGAGAATGAAGAAGATAGTAAATTGTACTGGACCACCAACACACATGGCAACTAGTAATGCTGTGGTCATCTTAGTCCAACGACTTGAATTAAGCAACTGTTGCACAGTAATGCACATGCTGTCAAAACACGCTAAATTCAAGAGTTAAGTCTTTGCATATTGCCTCAGCAGAGAGAGCTCATTTAGCCAAGATTTCTCACTTATCTTGCAAACTGAGACACATAGGATGCATCTAATTTTCAGTAATCCAGTGCCATTCCTCATGCAGATACCTTATGCAAATCCTTCTGCTTTGATCTCAGCCCTTGAGTTACAGCAAAACTATACTCTGTAGACTACAGCTGCATTTCATCTCACAAAGATTCATTACCAAACTGAGACCACGTTCTACAGAAAAACTGGGTCTACTCACAAGAGAAGGGCAAGCTATACAGCAGCAAAAATCTATTCTGTCCTTAAAAATTTATACAATTATCCATCTATTCCTGTTTTGTCCTCTCCTCCCTCATTCTTCCTTGCTTTTCTTCTTTCCAGCTAAACTCATTTTCAATCACTACAGACTTCTGTGTGTACTAATCTCTGCCAGAGTCCTTCTCCACTCTCAGCTCTGCAGTGTTACAGCTGCTGTCAGCTCTTCCCCTGAAAAGCATCATAATCTCCAGTCCCCATGGGATGCCCTGACAACTAACAGACTGTTATTCACTGTTTAAATTGTAATTCACTGCTTAAGCACGTGCAGTTTCTATGGTTTTATCTGAAACCTTTTGCTTCCAGATTTCAAGGTCAGCAAGTTGCCAGTAACCCCAGGTGTTTCTGACAACTAAAAGTAATTTCAGTGAAATGAATTGGAGTCCATACATGAAGGGAGAGGGATGCAGATACATCTGCATACCACAACCCCTTACTTCAGTCAGCCTTAACTGGAAATGCTATTGTCAAGTGAAGTGCCTGTTTCTGTGTTTATTGTCTCTTGGAGAGAATCTGGGATCTGTACTTATGGGGTTTTTTTGTGCTGATATTGTATGCTCCTTCTGGAAGCTAAGAATCTCTGAGCTGAGATGGATCTTTATGCTACTTACATAGAGGTTCCGTGCTCATAATTAGCTTGTCCACTTTTTTAACAGAGCACAACTGACAGCCAAATTCAGCTCACCCTTCTGTAAACAGAATGCAAGACTAGTAGTTGAAAAAGTAATCAAGAATGCCAGAAAGTACAACAACAATAAAAAAGACAAACAGGGAACAGTCAATCTACTACGTTATTGTTCAGAGAATTCCTTTATCTCTACAGACCTGCCTTTCTTCTCTGCCTACCCGCATTGATTCTTGCAGTTTCAACAGGCACCATATTAAGCTCACTTCCTCATACTCTCTGTGCTGTCCTGATGGAAGCTTCAGAGCTAGAACAAATTCACTGCTTAAACTGAGGTAATTCCTTTCCACTTTCTTCCTCCTTGAGTTGGCTGAAATCCTACTGCCTTTTCTCAGTTCCCTACTTTTAATGTCCATGCTGTTTTTGCTTCCACTTCTCCAGTGCAATCCATCATTACATTCTCTATTTCTTCTTCAGTACTAACAGAAAAGTCCCAACTGCCCCTCCATTTAAATACCTGTCATTGCTCTTCCCTACCTTCTATACAGCTAACTCCTCCTTGGAACTGATACTGGCTTCCTTAATTTAGGTACTTAACTACCACTAAGCTGCCCAGCCTTGGACTGCAAAGTCTGTTCCATAGGTGAAAGAGAAATACTTTTTGGACTGAATTTTGAACACCTTTGTTTTAACAATCTATTTCTGGGATGCTACAGATGCATCTAAAGGTCCAGTGGAACCAGACAGATCTGACACTAACATATTCACATCACAAAAAGCCCAGGTTTGACAAGAGGACAGCAACAGATGTAAAGACCCAGAGCCAGGGAGGCTTGTTCTTCTTTGTTGTTCTTGGACGGGGTACCCCTGCATGCATATCTGTGTGTATGATCTAAGGCTAGCCAAGGGCTACAAGCTACAGGTCTAGTGAGCTCAGCTGTGTGAGGGTGTTAAATCAAGGCATGTCTCTCAGATGCACTGCTTTTACTGCCAAAAATGTCTAAGGGTCAGGCAGCCTGATTAACCCAGATATTCAGGAGCTGAAAAAACAAGTGTGCTGCAGGGCAGCAGTAGCAAAACAGACAAAGGGGTTCCAGTAACTGTTGGATGTGTGTCCTGCTGCCTGTCCTCTTTTCAGTGGGCACTCAGTTTATGTGTGTGATGTACCCAGCTCGCTAAAGACACTTCATGCATGGGCGAGACAGGATACAAAACAGAGCCATAGTGTTTTACAGGGCTCGCTCTGTGATCAGCATCTGCTTTTGGCACATTTGCTAGGCTTGGCCAGTGTATCCTAGAAAAGTTGGCTACTTCTATGTCCAGCTGCAGTCAGGACTCCTCCCCTCTCTGGGATAGATTTCCTGAACCCTGGAGATTTGGATCCCCTCTACCCTATTTCTGTACTAGTTACAATTGAGAAGAACTTTGGCTCTTCTACTACTTCTTTTACTTTGGCTGGCACCATGTAAAACAAAAGACAACATGGTAGCAAGATTTCTGTGCTGTGGTGGTGCGACTTGAAGATTTATTTCAAAAGGCTTCCTGAATAGAGTTGTTATGACATTTACAGAGATGTTCAGTACAAGAAATTATGCCGTGCTGATCAATACCCCCAACAGTTTGTAATGTTCCAGTCTACTGCTGGCAAACTTGGTGATCTTCTTGGTCTCTCTCTGATAACATCTTGAAGAACAGGCTCCTTTTCCCTACCTAGCATTTCCTCTCCATATATGGAGAGGTCTAATTAGTGGTCTAATATTGACAAATCAGTTTTTCTGAGATGTTTTCTTTGACTGATGTTCACAGGTTGTTCAAAGCCTTACCCTTCTTGACAATGTCACAGAGAGAAGGTTACTGAAAAGTTACTATGTGAATGATAGCACAGAAATGTGTATTTATTAGACTTAGTCATTCCTAAAAGCAGAAAGATTTTTCATCTACCACCAGTCCACTCTGGTGAACAGCTGAGTTAATGTATTTTTCGACTTTGCATGCTGTCATCTGTAATGTGAAGATTCCATACACCAAATACTGCTTCCAGGGAACATCTGATCATTCTATAGCTTATAAAATACTGTATCTGTGATCTCTATCTCAAAATATTATCAGGTCTCTTCATGGTTCACAGACTTGTCAATAGTAATGGCAACACGAGCAGTGGGAAAGACCCAGTCTGACTATGGGAAAGAAAAAAGATCTTGCTGTGTTAGCTGTTCAAAAATTAACTATTAGTGATATGAGCACATTTAATCAAAACTATGGAGCTCTGTGAGACCATTTTATGGCACCATATTTCAGCACACTAAACCATTTCTCCCAGTTAGTCTTTTTCCACACCTTAATATGGGCCCCAGTTTTCCACTCTGTTAGTTTAAGCAAGGAGTCTGCTTTGGGCACAATCCATTATAAAATCAACCTACCACCTTTTACAAAAACAAGAGAAGCCAGGAACTTGAAAAGACAAGACTGAGTTGTCTGGCTGTTCCATTACTTTTTTCCTTTATGTTTCAACCAGGAAAGTCTCCAAGTTACTAGACAGTTTTTGAATTAGGCAGTAATGTCCATCTTTAGTATCTCATTCTGTTTGCAGTTAAGTTTTCTACTTCTTGTTTCTTCCTTTTCTGGAAGCCATGTGTGTTGGCTGGGAGAGAATTGATAATGCATGAAAGAAGAAGACAGGTCAAAGAGACAAAGTTGATTTTAGTTTTGTCATCATGGTCTTGTCTCTGGAGAAATTCTAGAAACAACTTTAAAAAGATGATCTTTATTAAGATGTGAAACAAGACAGGCAGTGCAAGAATAAACAGAAATACAGTCTGGTTTACTGAAATACATGTGGGGAGAAAGAGATGTGAGAGCTTTAACAACAGAACAGGATTAGTTTCAGTGAGTCTTGTAGAAATAATACATAACCCTGAGATCTTTGAGGAAAGAGATCGGAAAAACAGCCAAGAAGTATTAGGGAGTGAAAGAGGGCAGCAAATCAAAAGTAACCTGACAGACAAACAAAACAGCCAAAAAGATGCTATGGAGAGGGGTATTTGTCATGTCATAACCTAAGGACATGGTAGTCTCACCAGAAAAGTACAATTTTGAGTGCCACAGCCCAAGCACAAATTGAAGAAAATACGTAAATTCAAGACAATTAAGGACTTGGCAGGTAGAACTATCATCTGAGGTTAACAAAACCTCAACAAGTCTAAGCAAAATTAGGTTACTCCAAGAAGTAAAAGGATATTCAAAAGATGGAAAGTATTTACATGAGGAGGTGTTTAGGGTTTAGGAAGGAGGAACAAGGTACAACAGGCTGAAACAAATGAAAAATTCAGATAGCACATCAGGAGAAACTAGCTGATTAACAGTTTATCTAGATTCTTAAATAGACTTTTACAGCACACAGTAGAGTTTCTACCACTACACCTTTTTGAAGGCAGACTACACAATGCGTCTGAAAATACTCTGTACAGACTATCAGGGACTGTACAAAACACGCTGGAGCATGCAAAGCATCTTCTTCCTCTCTAGTCTATATTCCTTTGACACAGAGGCTTTTCTCCATTCACTCCCCTCTGTAGATGGTTATCTGGTCTTTTCCTGACAACAATGAATGGATTAAATTAGTCTGAGACATAGCAGTTTTTAAATTATCGGCTCTCAGTGTGCTGGAAATATAGCTAGGAACTGTTGTTTTCCATGTAAGTGAAAAAATGTTACAGCAAGATCCCATGAATGGCAAGAATGGGTTTGGAGCCTTATACTGGAGACTGAAAGGCAACTTGGAAAATATTTCCGGAGCGGCTCCCTGCAGCCTTCAATACTTGGATTAGTTTTCTGAAATTCTGAAGGAATCTTTTGCTTTTTTTCCCCCTTCTGTGCATTTTTGGTGCTGAACTTTTTCCGGTTTTCCCACACTCCTGCCTGTCACAGAGCAGAAACCACAAAAATGCAGCAAAGTAAAGTCTGTCCAAGGAGCTGCAATTCCATCTCACAAGGATAAACATTTCCTTTGCCAAGAAGTGAGCACAGCACACCGGCATCTTCAAATACACATCCCTGCTGCCCAGCAGAGAAACCCACTGACACAGCCTGTCACCTGTACTAACAAGAGCCACCCAACATGAAAGAAATCAGATAGCAAAGCCACCAGAGCATACCTGCCACACCTGATGCTCACATCTGCATTTGCTGAACTGACAAAATTTACTAACATCTTGTTCTCTTTTTAAATAGTTTTGGGGGATTAACTCTGTGTGCTATCTCTTAAGATAGCAAGAGTACAGGCAGCAAATACACAAACTTCCCCAAAGCAGTTCTGTCCAAGTTCCTTAAATATGCCTTGCAGTTCCAGATTTGATTCACACACAGTGACTGCATCTTCATAAGGTGTCTTTCATCACTAATCTAAAACTAAAACTTCTCTCTTTAAACAAGAAGTGAAAACAGACTCTAGAAACCTCACAGGAGCTTGCTCTGAAAGCTTTACAACTCTTCTGGCTGTAGAGTAAGTACAAGGAAGGAAGTTATGAAATCAATTTTTCAGGATGAAACAAGTCTGAGGATACATGAGGAAAAACCTGATGAAAGATTTAGACTAAAGCAGTTCTGCCATTTAAGAAGAGATGAGAGTTGAGGAAGCTGAAAACCCAGAAGTCTTGCTCACATTTTCTCATAATGCACAGAACAGAAGACATACCAAGAAGTGGAAAGGAAGGAAACTTACAATCAGTAAGCAAAATTTCATGGTGAGTATTTTTGTTTGTTTTTAAAGACAGCATTTGTTTTTAAAGATAACTCAAATCCATCCACTTACCTTAGAATAGCAAGCATTATTTAACTAAAAGCTTACTATAAGTTAAAGGAAGGATTTCTACAGTTAATGAGAAAAGCTATCATTACATCAGGCACAATACAAATATTTCAAATGAAATAAACACTTGTGCTTGAAGGCCGAAATCCAACATGGTATGTTAAATTTATGGGAAAACTTGGTTCAGGGGCAGATTATCTTGTTAAAGAACTGCTTTGTTTTGGCTTTTTTTTCCGGCACCCTCTTCTGACCCACCAGATTCTAGCCACCATCAAAGAACAGACAGAGGGAGTTACTTAAGTGCCTAAACATAGATATACCATAATTGGTGCTCTCAAGTTATTTGAGACATCTGCATGGGACTGACAGATACAACACAGATCAACAGAACACCTGTACCCATCTGGAAGAGACGCTGGAAGTCAGATGGAATAGCCCTGGGCATCAAAAATGCCACTAGCAACCTGTACTTACGTTACTGAATCCCACTCTGGGATCAGTCTGACAGCTCCTATGTCCTTACCTTTGTATGATGTTACAGTTACCTTCTATACCCTTGTGAAACACAACTGCAACATAGTGCAGTGCTTATTTCAGTATGTACACCTCAGGTTACTCTGAGATTTATCCTGGACAGCACAGCCAAAAGATCTGTCAAAGTCAGATGTAGGCAGTTTCTTCCCCAATATGCATTTTCAGGGGAACCTGAAAACTGCCAACTCCCTATGGTGGATGGAAGAGATAAAACTTACTTGGAAATCCTCTGGGCTGCAGCCTTTCTGATCACTGCCTGTTTGTGGTTTCTTGGAGGCTTTGGAACCAGCTGAGGAGCTGTACTCTGGGATGGCATCACTTTGTGCAAACTGGCTGCCTTCTGAATACTAGAAGTGGCACTTGATGACTTGTGGGCATCAGAGCCAGCTGGCATAGATATATGACTGGTGCTGGATTGTGAGTTGGTAAAAACAGCCTGGGTAAAAAAAGAAAAAAAAATCCCATAGTAATTGGTGATTATCTCTGTGAGCACTGCTGAGAATGCTGATGGAGGTGGGTGACATTTTTGTGAGGGATAGTATCTGCCTGGTGAAGGCAACCCCAGGGCTACAGGGAAAGTCCACACATAAAGAGTTAAGTTGTTAAGTCAGTGAATTTTATGCCCTTGGAAGCCAGGACTAGCTTCTAGGAAGGCAGACAACCTCACTACTGCCCCATAATTCTACTATTCTGGATTAAAAAACAAGAGGCTCAATCCTCAATCTAATCTTTCAGTGGGTTTCCATCCACAAAGAAGTAAATATTTCATTACATTGATTTTCTGCATTTTCTTGCTAAATTATTCTTTATGTGGGAAGTAGGATTGAGACACAGTTCTAAGAAAGAGTAAGGTTATGGGGAAGATGATACAATGCTACTTATTTGGTCTAACTGTGTAGGTGCTTGGAATAACAGAAAGGCTTTAGGGTACCTTCTTCTGAAAAAGGAACTTTAAGTCCACCACTGACAAAAAGGAAATCCCCCGTAATATCAGGGAACAGAAAATATTTCTATTCCTATAGCATATGGGAGAGTAAGCATGTTGGAGATATGACAGGGAACAAAAGGATCTGCATGTTATGAGACACTGGAGAACTGAGCAATGGCCTGGCAAAGCAGGCAGTGGAGAATATTTCCTCTATGGGAGCTCTGCAGACTGCTAAAGTCTCCTCAGGAAGGAGCAACCTGCTGGGAGTTCAGCTTTGTCTTTCCTCGAAGTCAGTCACAGAGGCAATACAATAACCTTGTAATTTGGCATCTAGAGGTCAGTGATAGGAGATAAGAGGAAGAGCAGAGCCCTCAGTGTGACCCTGGGAGCAGTGCCCTTCACTGAGTTTGTCCTCAGTTTCTCCTCGGGTGGAAAATACACAAAGCCACAGCAAATGGGCTCCAGGCTCCAGAGAAAACCACAGTCTGAGAGCTGGCTGAGTCTCAGCACACAGACAGGAAAAGCCCCTCTCCCCCGCAATTCTCTGGCAAATGGCAGAGCAGTGGTGTGTGGGAAGGCATTTCTGACAGGCAGAGCTCTAGGGAGAGAAGGAAATGCAGGAGCCAAAACAGGCCTGTTTCCTAACTACAGCTCACTGACAAGACGCCCTAGAGCTCCCAATCCTTCTTAACCTCTCCCTTCTCTGAAGCTCTACCTTGATTGCAGCTTCCAGATTCTCAATACAGAAGCTAGTACAAGTGCAGAAGTCTGGAAAATAGAAGTCACACCCCACCTCTCCCCAGAAAAACAAACTAAAAAAGAACTTGGTTTAGTCTCTTGGATCTCAGAGTCTGCCCACATAGTAGAGTCGGGATGGAGACCCTCAAGTCACTGCATCCACTTCTTATTCAGCAGTGACATTTCAATGTGAAATGATACTTTCTATCTTTCCTATAAGTTCTTTTGATATTATGCATTTTTCCTTTAAGTTCTTTTTCTTGTTACTAAAATCACTAAGATCCCGGAGTCCACAATGCATACAGTCATAACCTTTTCCCTGTGGTAATATGCACTGGCAAGGAGGTCCATAACTCTGAAGAAAAAGCAAGCATGGATGCTCTAACAAAGTCTGATCGGCAAAACTGTGTTGAAACCTGCCTAAGAAAGGTCATGGATGTTTTTCTTGGGGGTTACAGACTTCTGAAAACGCCTTTGTCTCCACACTGTGCTGAGATTCTGGCTGTCTTCCAGGCAAGGATGGGGAGACTGGAAGCTAACGAGGACCACGGCTTCTGGATTCAGCTACAAAGTATACTGCCCTGCTGTGAACTCCATGGGGACAGGACAGGAAACCAGGAGAAGCTTCTGTGCAAATAGAGAGGACAGCCGGGGAGAGCAGAGCCTGACCACACAGAGGAAGGGTTGGGAAGTTTTCAGCACATCCAAACAGATCTTATCACTCAGTTATTCAGGATTCTGAACACTAAGGGTCTAGAGAGAGCAGAAGCCTAGACAAACCCTGACAGATGCAGTTCTGAAGCAGGTAGCACCCTACAACTACTGCTGCTTCAAGTGAAAAACTTCAGTTCCCAGGCTGGTAGATTTAACTTGATGTTAAGGATACATTTGCTACCCTACCAAGTCTCTAGGGCTAAAAATCTGAAAAATACTAAAAACGCTATAAGATGTTTTAGCTAAAATTTCCGTAAATTATTAGTGAGTTAATTCTTGTGCAAAATTTTCTGGGGAGGAGGAACAGCATTAATTCTGTCTTGCCCATGAAGAAAATTAGCATTGACAGAAAAAGTGTTTTTCCCTACATCACAGACTGAAGCAATATCTCCTTGATTCAACATCTGCAACAACACCATACACAAATTATTACCTGTACAAAAAAAAAGAAATGTTTTAATTAGTAAATCTCAATGTGTACACCTTGTCAGTAAGGACAATGAACGTCTAAGAGTCTAAGAGTATTAGTCAGTAGCAGCTAAGTTTGGGCTGTTAGTGATTAAAAGCAGAGAGGTAGTGTAGCACTTTGAAGAAAAGCAGATGTATTAAGGATCTTCAAAAACAGAAAGAATATTCCTGGCACTTACCATCCCTGTATCTAACACCCATCCCTAGCATAGTAATGGAACAAATTTTGCAAGCAGAAACATGTTAATTGTGTGACCAGAGGAGGTAATGAAGCTCATTTCCTGTGAATCTGTCTTACAGTATCTAATATAAAGCATACCCCAAATTACTCCTCCCTTCGTGGGTCTGGGCATTCTTGTGTTGATTTTGTGCTGTCTGATTAGGAGTGGTCTCATGCTGCAGCCTTTGCCTTAGTGGGAACAGTAGTTGAACCCCCTTCCCAGATACATGGCTCTTAATTTTAATGAAATTTGTATGAAACATAGCTGTGAGATTTCTATCCCCCAGTCATTCACATTCAATTGGATCATCAAATCTGAAAAAGATGAGAGACTCAGCAGTGTATGAGAACTGACAGACAGATACATATACACATGTATTGCATAAAGAGCTGTGCAGCTAGCTCCAAATCCCTGGCACTGCAAACTGAGATGTTTATAAGTAATCAACAATAACACGGTTTTAAGTTTAAAATAAAAGAAAAAGAAAAAACCAAACCCAACAAAACACAACCCATCACTTTTGGAAAAGCACTTGTGTTGCAGATAACATCACAAGAATACAGAGAATTAATATGCTTGGGAGACCTTTCCAGTCTTATAAATTGTTTAGTGGAAATTCTTTTGAACACATACTAATGCATTCAATTAAATCAGTTTGGACACAAGGCTGAATTGAAGTTCACCAAGTGGCAAAAAAGAGCAGGTTCAAAATGTACTATTTACTACCACAGTATTATAAACTGCACTAAGAAGAGTATCTTGTGGTCTTAAAGAAGAACAAGCTCATGGTATGCACAGACTGTCCTGAACCATGTCCTCTTTGGTAAATACTTTGGAGCAAGAAAAAAAATACACTATTTTCAGTTGACTTGGTGCCTCTTGTTTTATTTCTCTCGGTACTGCTAGCTCTCTGGGGCAAGGATTGGGCTGTATCATTGTATTGGAAAGACAGTTAATACATCTGGGCATAATTCTAATAATAGTGACAGGATCAGAAACATGGGGATAAAAATTCAGCTGGTATAAATCAGCTCAAACTACTGCTTTCAGAACGGTTGTTCTGTTTTACTTACACTGAGACTTTTGACTCATCAGTATCACAAGACTCAAATAGGAAAAATGGCAGTTAGCATATTTAGTGGGAAAACAATCTGAGGGAGAAAGCTGCAAAACAAGAATGAACAAGAAACTGAAGGAAAAGAGATACTGTAAATCTGACAGCAGTTCCATATATAACAGTTTAGAAAACAGTTTAATGATGTTTGAGGCTGCATTCAAAGACATTCTGTATCCTCAGTTAGTAATAATATAGTTTTAGGAATATTATTCACAGTACTCAGCATTTCCAGTCAAATCTAAATAAATGGTAAGGATGTCAGAAGAGAATCACAAATATTAGGACAAAAATTTGCTGAACTTCATGAAATTAGGAATATTTCAGAGGACATACAATTTTTAAATGACTGAGAGGAGAATTATTTAAGATTAATTTAGCTTAATCTTCTACAGCATAAAATCTATTTAAACTTGTGATTGAAAATGCGATCACATAACTGCCCACACAACTCATTAACATGATTCATGTCTTATTTAACATGAGCTTTTTTGATGTAAGCAGGACTGACAGGGATCATTCCACCATACAATTGTACTTCCCTTGTTTTAATTTAGCTTTTTTCCCATGTGAAATGTTTGGCATAAAATTTTAAACCCAGTAGATGCTAGGCTAAGCAGACAGAACATTGCCACACAAAGAAGGAACCTCCCTAGCAGCTAATGGCATCTTTCCAGTACAGGAAACAATTAGAGAATAAACAATGATGGTATATTAACTGTCTTGCCAACTGCAGCAGTGATAATAACATCTAGGTCATAATGTGTCATATGAAGTCTCCTTTAAACATTAAAAATACTGCTGTAAGCCTGCTTTTGTTGTCTTTTGGTTTGATTTTGTAATTCTTGTTCCTTGATTTTACTGATATCAGATTTCAGCTTTTTGTCTCTGCTTTCAAACTCTTCCCCTTTCTATTTTTGTTCAGTTTTCTCAAGGTCTGTACTGTGTCTGTTCCTGGTCCATATCACTCCACCTATTTGTTTGTTAGATTGTCATCCAGGCAGTTTGGTGTCTCTCTTTTTGTCTAAGTAATCAAGTACCTATTCTGGCATCAAAGGTCTATTTCTACAGTACTACACTGTGTGAACTAGCTTCTGCATACAATGAGTGAAAACTGTTCATTATTATTCCTCTTCCTCCACCCACACAGTATTTGATATTCTGCAGATTGTTAAATGCCTGGAGAAATCATCATCATTCTTATGTGTCTGGAAAGTGCTCAACCAAGAGTGGGTGCTGCAACAAAGCACATCAGAAGCCTTCATGTTAACACACACAGGATAAATCTACTGCATGGTGGACGGAGGGATTCTTATGACACGAACACTTGACTAGAAAAGCCCGTGCTTTCCAGTGCATCCATCTCATCTCCAACATACTGAGCTAGTTAATGTACAGGACAAGCATTTGCTGTGTTATTAATCATAGTGCATTTACTTGATCACATTATATATAATCACACATGTACTTAGTCCCTTTTGCCAGAGACAGAAGGAAAGACTGGCATCTAGTCATGTTGCATGGTCACACCACACTCAGGATGTACCTTAAGATATATTAATTATTAGATGTACTTCAGCTATTGACAAATGGCTAGTCTGCCTTCTAACCATAACAAGAACTTGAACAATCAGATGAAACAGTCTCAGAGATATCCTGCATGCATTTCCCAAAGTAGAGACATGATGACACTCTTTCAAGCCACAGGCCTTCAGTCTTGGGGGATATACTTCTTCTACTGAGGGGAGACTGACAAGTTTGAATGTAGCAGGCAAGACAACAAAGAATGGAGGAGATCTCAATACATGGGAAGGAAAAGAAACAAAACAGCAGGCAATGGGAGATAGGTAGCATAGGTGACACTGACACAGAAATGTGGTAAAGCCGTGCAGGCTAGGATAATCTACATGGTCTCTAGCTAAAAAGGGAGGACAAATCAGGGTAAGCAGGAAAAGGTGGTGCAGAAGTCTAAGCATTGTGAGTGGGAAGATGTAGGTCAGAGAATGCATAAGCTGCAGAAAAGAGAGACAGTTCTTAGAAAAGCCAAGTTAAAGGACTGAAGTCTGAGAAGCTAATTAGCAGAAGGAAGAGGTCAGTAACAGAAAGCTAGAGAGGGTGTAGGAGAAGACAAGGGTAGTGCCATGACTGGAAGGGTGGGCATCAGAGGATTGATGCAACTGTGATTGGAAGAGGAGGGATGGCTGGCTCCATACAGTGTCTTGGACAGGAAGAGTCCAAGAGACAATCATTTTATTAAGATGACATTTTATTTATGATAGAAAGTCTGAAGGCCCCCATGTTGAGCAAGTATTTTTCTTCATTAACATCAAATTCAGTACAGCCTGAGTCCTGCAGCATGGCAATAGCCTCAATACAGCAACTCCAAAATGCTTGGCTCAGAACAAGTGAGGGAGAGAAAGGAGGAGGGACATTGTGGGGGTGAGAGGAGGTTTAACAAAGAATCATTTTAACAGAAACTCCTGAGTAATGGCTCTGCACCAGGCCAAGAATAACATCAGCTCAATGTCAGCAGTTAGAAGAGGGCTCAGCCAGGCCCCATGGCCAGCTCCAGCCTCCTCACAGGCACAAACCAGTTTATGGTCCTTTCCTGAGCTCGTGAGCAGCCACATCTGCCCACCCAGAGCCCAGTGGACAGAGATGAAAGGAAGACTTCCTGTGCAGAGTGGAAGTGAGAAGACTGTAGGTGAGAGAAGTTGAGGATGCAAACTACATGGCTAAGTAAGGGCCTGAAAAGGAGAGCAAGGAGCAAAAAGCAGAAGGGTCTCTCCTTCAAGATGCTCCCAGAAAAGGATGAGGGCAATTTGCCTATAACCTTTTCTCAAGGACCCTGACTAATGACTCATCTGCTTCACAGGAGGGAGAGTGGGTGTCCAGACCTCCATGTGTTATGTCTGTTCATGGGAGCCCAGTCATGCCAGATTGCTCCCAACAGCTCCTTGCTATTGGAGACCAAGCTGTTTTGAATGAAGGTTTGTTCACCCAAAGGCTTCCTTCCTTTCAGCAGGGAAGTGTTTTGGACATCACTCGGAATACATCTCTCTCTCTGTCTCTCTCTCTCTCTCTATCTCCATAATAACAAAGTAAGGTAACAAGTGTATCAATTAAGTCATTACAACCTTGAAAGATTCTCCCAGCAGAATGGAAATGCTGTTCCATACACAGCAGTCCACCTTTGGCATCCAGGAGTCATCCAGAACAACAATAATACAAGCCCTTTGTCATATTTCCTCTGGCTCTTAACATATCAACGTAATGGAAGAAACTATTCCACAGTATCACAATGCTATCAAAAACACTGCAGGTAATATTGGTTTTGTTGCAACTCACTTTAATATTCCTTCACAAAATCTCCACCATATGTACTGTCTCTGGGCTTGTTCTGCCCATGTAAGATTCAGTCAGCACTGCGACATCCAGGCAGGATTTTTTCTTAGTTACCTGTTGCCTTGTTTGGTTTTGCTCCAACAGCTGTCTTGACTGAAGTTTCTGCTGCTGAAGTTGCTGCACAGCAAACTGAAGCTGATAGCTGGGATGTGCCAGAGGACCCCGTGTCACCTTGTAGAGACTGTTCTCCATCTCTCCTTCCATGGCAAAATGATGATTGTCTGGAGCCCTGAGGAAAGAAGAGCCATCATATTTTCACCACTCTGCATATAAGGACCCCTGCCTAAAAGGCGCTGCTGCTTCCAAAAGGTCTCTTAATATTTAGCCAGCCATGAATTTAAGTGGCTTTAGCAAGCACAACACCTGCTAGAGGTGCCATGTACCAACTGCCAAGTGCTTCCTGTTAAGCACTTTCTTGAATATAGGATGGGACTTATATTACTAGACATTCTCTTGAGGAGAAAAAAGGAAAGGAGAATAAAAACTCTAAACTGCAATATTTCTGTGGCCGATTAGCATTGAAGACAGGCAGTATAGCAGCAGGAAAAAGGCTGATTCCCATCACTAATGAGAATTATTTATTTGGGTTTGGAGAAGCTTTAATACAGTAACACAAGGCTTACACTAAGCACATACATGCTGCAGTGACAATGGAACAGAAACAGACACGCAGTACAACATCCAGAGAGGATAAAGGACTGGTTGGGGGAGGTTGGAACTAGGATACATACTGACTCCATATAGTTACAACCCAAAGGTCTGGGGGGAGCGAGATAGGCTCATTTCTTTCATCCTCAGAGAAATGCAAGCTCTTCTCAGAGGACAAGTGGCCTCTTGCAAAGAGGCAGGAGCTCTTACGACCCAGGCTTACATGGCAGGAGTTCAGCTGTGGCCTGCAACATGATAAGTACCAACAGAAGCTCACTAGCTTGCTTTGAAGTTTGTAAGCCTTGAAGAGAAGGCAGTACCGACACACTTCTACACAAGGCTGAGGGGCTTTGCAGAGAGCAGGTGGCAGACTGACAGGACCACAAGGTGTCCTGAAGAGGCTACAAAGGCCCAGCAATGCACTCATTCTGTGCTCAGGCAACAGATGTTGTATGACCCACTGAATCCTGACCCTCTGGCTAATATAACCAAGCCTCAATGCCTTAGCTTCCCAAGTGTCTGCTGATCTCTGACGTGTTTCTCTCAGCCATTCCTTCCAAATCCTTTGGATTCCCAGGGCAGACGTCCCTTATATTTCCTATCTACATCATACATAATAAATAACTAGGACGTAAAAGATGATTGGTGCTTTTCATGCCATGATTTCGAGTGTAGGTCATGGTTTTGGGAAGGGAGTTAACTGCAATCTCTTTGCTTCAGGAACCTACCAAAACATACAACCTAGATTCTTCAAACATATCACAGCTTGCCTTGAATGTGCTGCTTCTTCCCCAGAAAACTTTATCATTGCAAACCCTTAAAATATTCAGAAAGAAGAGAATTCACTCAAGCACTCTTCAAGCTATTTATTCAAGTTATATTATTAATTCTAGAAATTAACATCTGTTCCAACTCCTCCCATATCTACCTCCAGTTCAGAACCTGCAATACATAAAATTCATCGTTTGATCTAAAAGAATGCTTATGAAGCTCAGGATTGAGTGATAACTTCTAAAATGTAATAGTCAAGACAAAATGGAGGAGACAAAACTGATATAAACAAAAACTCCAATAAAACTGGACCTGCCAATAGCCAGATTTTGGGCCACAGAGTTAATGTGCAATGACTGCAGTCTGCTGTATTTTGTGGGTCACTATCTAAATGGCAACATTTTAGTAACACTTCCTCTTTTCTTATTTCTTTTGTTTTTAGGTATCTAGCAAAGGATTAACCGCTATGGAATTACAAATACTTAAGTCTGACCTTTTAAAAATGCACCAAGATTGCTGCCTTTCTCCAATTTGTCCAATTCAATGAACTCTCAAAATCTCTCACTGGGTTTCCAACTTGCTTTAATTCACTTTTTCAGTTTCAATCAATGTACTGGACACAATATTGCCCAGGTAAACTTGACTTAAATTACCCAGGAAAGCACTGTTGAAATTACATTATTAAACCTTTAGGAAGAACTAAATTTAAAAATACCAAACAAAACCATGTAACTTTGGCTAAGATTTTCTTGTGGCACAACCTTTTACACAATTCCCTGCGGTTCCAATACCTTCTCTCCACAACACAACAAAACAACACTTACTTATATTCTAGACACTATATTGAAAACACTGTTGCTTGCCTAAGCAGATTTTATCCTCATGGCCTGCAGAATCCTTCTGGACTGAATATGTTTCTGTTGGCTTCTATGGGATTTCCTTATTTACAGACAAAAACCAAAGTAAATGCATTATTCTGCATTTAACCATTATGTCCCAAAACACAACTTGAACCTTCTAGAATATAAACATACAATACTTGACAACAGAAAGCGAGTATATTTGCCAGTCTTGGGGTCACTTTCATAAAGAGATATGGCACCTGCAGTTTTGTAAAGTCCCCACATCACATGTTATCAAGTGCTGATATTACACCTGTGGTGATGTTCGCCATCAGGCTTAGGATCTGAGACTCAATACACTGCTGCCAGAGACATGCTCCAGCTCTCAGTCTATTTGCCACGTTCATAGAAATGCATCACAGAGCATCTCCTATTCTCAGTCTCTGCCTATCGGATGATTTATTAAAAAATGACAACCCTTAAAAAATTACCTTTTGCACCCTGAAGCAGAAATTAGTTCTGCCTAAGGAAATTACAACAGGTTCAGTCCCATAATGAAGGCTGCAAAACAGCTGTAGAGGACCTCATAAATGTAATGGATTTAAAGAGTTCACTTGTTAGGGAGTCTGTATAAATACCCCAAACTGAATTAAAAGCTTTTCTAAACTTACAGTGTTTTAGGCAAAGCCAAAAATAATCAGAAAAAGCCTCCCCACACCTAATGGAAAAGGGGATTGTAGAGTCATTACTCACAGACCTGCTTGTTTTCAATTCAGGATTATTGCTTGAACACTAATGATGAATATTCATTTCTTCACATGTACAGACAACAGATTTAGGCACAGATGCACACGCATGCAAGTGGGAAATAGAAATTCCTGCCTGTGCCACCAGAAAAGATTTGGTTTCATTCTGTCAGCCAGGCTGCTTGTGAGCAATCTTCTCACAGCTTGCTCAGAATTATTTATGAGTTGCTTAGTTTAGACACCTGGCCAGGATTCAGGCCTTCACTATGCACAGGAAATCTCAGCCTTTGGCATTATGGTCCATCCTTTGTAAGCAAGATTCTGTCCTTCCAGCGGCTCTTCAGGCTACTCAGTGTTTTTGGCAAGTAATGCACTCTGTTCCTTTCTTTCAACTGTAGTTTTCATAAAGGCTGGGCCAGAATTCTCTCTTCCAAATCACTGACAGGCATAAAACCTCTCTGCTGCAGTTTTTTTGTACCATGGAAGATCCAGGTTTGCTTGTGAGACTATTTGCAACAAATCACCATGCAATTATAATTGGGATCCAGTCCAAAAGGACTAGAACACCATACATACATCTCCAGGTTTTCTGGTTCCAAACTACCTTTCTACTCTAGTTCCCTTTTCCAATTCATTAGCTCTTTTCTGATGTAAGCAACCTTTATGCAATCAGCTACTTCCACCTGTACTAGAAACTAATGTCAGTGTACTAAAATACTAAATACTAATAAAATGTTAATGCATTTTTTCACTGATTACAGAAAAAAAAAAGTCTCTATGAAATCCAGTCTCCATAGCTGGCTTTGTTTCCATTTCAAAAGAACTTGAAGGGAATTCCAAGGACTGAAGTTGTAGACAAGACCAGACCCCAGAACACCAGCCACTGAGGATCTCATAGTTACAAAGAACTATTGGACAAACAGCAAGTCTGTACTAAAAAAAATGACACATCAGGCTTACATTTATATTTTAACTGAAGCCTTCTTCCAGTGGCACAGCTGGGCACTTACTTGATAGCAATTCCTGTGTGGCAGGCAACAATACCAATTCATGAAATACACTGGTGTTCTCCATATATCACTCACTAAGCAGGCACTTTAGAAGTACTTGAAAAGTGTCTACATCCCATTGAAAGGCAGTGCAAGCTAGGCTCAAATTATTTTACTTCAAAGTAAGTGAAGCTTCAGCATTCATGAAGAATATTCCTGTTTAACTCTGCTTAGTTTGTGAGAACTGACAGGATCACAGCAGAAATCAGTATGTCTGGAGGTCTAGCAAACTAAGAAATTATTTTCCTACTAAACAAGGAAACAAGCTGACAACGAAGGTACTTTGCATCCTTTCCTGTAAAGGCTGAAGCTAAGGAGGAACAAGAGCCATTGCTGGCAATAAGGGAACCCAATGCATTTATAATCAGTGCTCCCACCTTGCCACAGAATGCAAGACAATCTTGGGCAGCAGTTTCTTTCCCACAGGGCATTCAGATGGTATGAGAAGTCTAGGAAGTTTTCAGTACAAATCCTTGGTAAGCACCAGCTGCTAGAAAGTAGTTGGCATAGTAACTAATGATTTTGTGTAGTGTGGCAGCTCCTAGCATCCTGCTGACTTATGTTCAGGCACTCAGAAAAACACAGAACATTTTCTTTGGCATACTACATGCTTCTTCCATCCCTAACAATAGATCCTAGATTGGAGCTGGCTACAGAGTAATGATAAACAGAGTGGGATGAAGCCCAGGACGCTGGGGTCCTGGCTGGGATGCAGGAGTTTTGGGCCTCTCGCTTGCCTTGAGGCTGTTCTTTGTCTTTCTTCCTCTTTCCTTCCCCTCAGCTTCAAAAGCAATAAATTAAAAACTGAAAAACAGAGCAACAAGTCTTTCAGAATGGTTCATTCCTGGTCTCTGCTGTTATCAAGAGTGTCTATGAAAGAATGACTTTAGTGCAGTTTAGTCAGCAAGAGTCTACATTTTAGCAAGGACTGTAGCTCTGATTGCTGGAACATGCAAGCCTCTAAAAACCTCCTGCTTTGCAACATAGCACGAGCTGCGCTACAAAGGTAAAGAAAAATAGTTTCACAAACACCATGGGAAAATAAAGCATTTTGAATATTCCTAAAAGAGCTAAGCCTGGGATTTTGGAGATCTGAGGCACTGGGAGCTGTCCAGAACTCACCATGGTACAGGTACTTGGAAACAGGGAAGGGGCAGGAAGCACCTGGCCTGT